GGTGATGCAGGCGGGAAAGGGGGGGGTGATGTAGGCGGGAAAGGAGGGGGGTGATGTAGGCGGGAAAGGAGGGGGGTGATGTAGGCGGGAAAGGGGGGAGTGATGGGGAGTGATGTAGGCGGGAAAGGGGGGGGTGATGTAGGCGGGAAAGGGGGGGGTGATGTAGGCGGGAAAGGGGGGGGTGATGTAGGTGGGAAAGGGGGTGGTGATGCAGGCGGGAGAGGAGGGGTGATGCAGGTGGGAAAGGGGGGGGGTGATGCAGGTGGGAAAGGGGGGGGTGATGTAGGCGGGAAAGGGGGGATGATGTAGGCGGGAAAGGGGGGGTGATGTAGGCGGAAAAGGGGGGGGGTGATGTAGGCGGGAAAGGGGGGGTGATGTAGGCGGGAAAGGGGGGTGTGATGTAGGCGGGAAAGGGGGGCGGTGATGTAGGCGGGAAAGGGGGGGGGTGATGTAGGCGGGAAAGGGGGGGTGATGTAGGCGGGAAAGGGGGGTGATGTAGGCGGGAAAGGGGGGGGGTGATGTAGGCGGGAAAGGGGGGGGGTGATGTAGGCGGGAAAGGGGGGGTGATGTAGGCGGGAAAGGGGGGGGGTGATGTAGGCGGGAAAGAGGGGTGATGCAGGTGGGAAAGGGGGTGGTGATGCAGGCGGGAAAGGGGGGGTGATGTAGGCGGGAAGGGGGATGATGTAGGCGGGAAAGAGGGGTGATGCAGGTGGGAAAGGGGGGGATGATGCAGGCGGGAAAAAGGGGGGGTTAAGCAGGAGGGAAGGGGGGGATGCTGGCGGGAAGGGGGGATGCTGGCGGGAAGGGGGTGTGATGCAGGCGGGAATGGGGGGGATGCAGGCGGGAAAGGGGGTGAAGCAGGCGGGAAGGGACGTGATGCAGGCGGGAAAGGGGTGGTGATGCAGGCGGGAAGGGGGGGATGCTGGCGGGAAGGGGGGGGATGCAGGCAGGAAGAGGGGGATGCAGGCGGGAAAGGGGGGGATGCAGGCGGGAAAGGGGGGATGCTGGCGGGAAAGGGGGGGATGCTGGCGGGAAAGGGGGGTGATGCAGGCGGGAAAGGGGGGGTGATGTAGGCGGGAAGTGGGGGGGTGATGCAGGCGGGAAAGGGGGAGTGATGTAGGCGGGAAAGAAGGGGTGATGTAGGCGGGAAAGGGGGAGGGTGATGTAGGCGGGAAAAGGGGGGGGGTGATGCAGGCGGGAAAGGGGGGGGGTGATGTAGGCGGGAAAGGGGTGGTGATGTAGGCGGGAAAGGGGGGGTGATGTAGGCGGGAAAGGGGGGGTGATGTAGGCGGGAAAGGGGGGGTGATGTAGGCGGGAAAGGGGGGGGGTGATGTAGGCGGGAAAGGGGGGATGTAGGCGGGAAAGGGGTGATGTAGGCGGGAATGGGGGGTATGCAGGCGGGAAAGGGGGGGTGATGCTGGCGGGAAAGTAGGGGGGTGATGCTGGCGGGAAGGGGGGGTGATGCAGGCGGGAAGGGGGGGGTGATGCAGGCGGGAAGGGGGGGGGTGATGCAGGCGGGAAGGGGGGGGTGATGCAGGCGGGAAGGGGGGGGGGTGATGCAGGCGGGAAAGGGGGGGGTGATGCAGGCGGGAAAGGGGGGGGTGATGCAGGCGGGAAAGGGGGGTGATGCAGGCGGGAAGGGGGGGGTGATGCAGGCGGGAAAGGGGGGGGTGATACAGGCGGGAAAGGGGGGGTGATGCAGGCGGGAAAGGGGGGGGTGATGCAGGCGGGAAAGGGGGGGGTGATACAGGCGGGAAAGGGGGGGTGATGCAGGCGGGAAGGGGGGGTGATGCAGGCGGGAAGGGGAGGGGGTGATGCAGGCGGGAAGGGGGGGGGTGATGCAGGCGGGAAAGGGGGGGGTGATGCAGGCGGGAAAGGGGGGGGGTGATACAGGCGGGAAAGGGGGGGGGTGATGCAGGCGGGAAAGGGGGGGGGTGATGCAGGCGGGAAAGGGGGGGGTGATGCAGGCGGGAAGGGGGGGGTGATGCAGGCGGGAAAGGGGGGGGGTGATACAGGCGGGAAAGGGGGGGTGATGCAGGCGGGAAAGGGGGGGGTGATGCAGGCGGAAAGGGGGGGGTGATGCAGGCGGGAAGGGGGGGGGGGTGATGCAGGCGGGAAGGGGGGGGGTGATGCAGGCGGGAAGGGGGGGGGTGATGCAGGCGGGAAGGGGGGGGGTGATGCAGGCGGGAAGGGGGGGTGATGCAGGCGGGAAGGGGGGGGGTGATGCAGGCGGGAAGGGGGGGTGATGCAGGCGGGAAGGGGGGGTGATGCAGGCGGGAAGGGGGGGTGATGCAGGCGGGAAGGGGGGGGTGATGCAGGCGGGAAGGGGGGGTGATGCAGGCGGGAAGGGGGGGTGATGCAGGCGGGAAGGGGGGGGTGATGCAGGCGGGAAAGGGGGGGTGATGCAGGCGGGAAAGGGGGGGTGATGCAGGCGGGAAAGGGGGGTGATACAGGCGGGAAAGGGGGGGGTGATGCAGGCGGGAAAGGGGGCGGTGATGCAGGCGGGAAAGGGGGGGTGATACAGGCGGGAAAGGGGGGTTGATGCAGGCGGGAAATGGGGGGGTGATGCAGGCGGGAAAGGGGGGGAGTGATGCAGGCGGGACGGGAGGACATGATGCCGGCGGAACAGAATAGTGACACAATAGTATAATAAACCTTACTAAAGCCACTCAAATATCCTTCCTGACATTACTCCATTAACATGTAACCTGAAATAAAAACAAATCACATCCTAAAAATATAAAAATTCAAGTCAAAGGGGAGAGGTCACGGCGGCACAACTTACCTGTGCTGAAGACCCACGTGGACTGCCCCCGGGGCGCCGCCGCCACCGGCTTTTATACTTCCCGCCCATTTTCCCGCCCGCCGCAGGGTCCTGACACACACACGTCCTGTCTTCCAAATTCAAAATTCAATTCAAATGGTTATTCAGATAAAAGTACATATTTAATGATGAGGTACAAACATAATGTTGGATTTATAGATCGAGCTAGTACATATAATATGTACAGCCACTAATATGCATAGCGTTTCGGGCATATATCTGTGTGAACAATGGTCTAAGGAAACATGAATTTATTTTTCTTTGTTGCCGAAATATGTACTAAAGGATTCAGAAATATTTGTTTAGATAAACAAGGTGCAATAATGAACTTTATTACCAATTTTTTTTTTTAAAGCTTAGGCTTACACAGCAAAGTGCTGCTAGCCTATTCTTTATGAAAGATCATACAATGTAGATCAAAAACCTGTTACAAGCTCATCCAACATTCCCACCTCACAGGACGGCCAGTCATACGTGGAATCAGGAGAGACCATGAAATGTATGGCTGATCTATTAGCCTCCACTGGCAAAATTTGGGTACAGCACACGAATATTTTCCAATATTCCTGAGTGTATGAACTAATTACAGAGCTCAAAGTACCTCATACTATTTGGTATGAAGTCACTGATAACAGGACAATCACAGATATAGTGTTGGAGAATATATCCCAGCTCTTGTTCACATAGTTTACAATTGCAATGTTCACCATTGGGGGGATTCATTACCTGTAGCCTCATGCCTTAAATATCGATATCCCAGCCTAATTCTGGCAATTACAATGTCACACAGTCTCGTGGATGTTTAAGGCTGCCCGTACATATAATTCTCGGTTCTAAATATGTCATAGCTCTTCATACTCGTGCTGTCTGACATTTTGAGTGTCAGTAACTGCTCTTCTGGCTTCCATAATTTCATAAAATATTGTAGCTTTTACAGCAGAGACTGGAATGCCCATATCCAACTCAGTTTCAGGCTTACCACATACGTGTAGCAGGAATTGTATATGTTTATCTCTCACAATGTTCCGCAAAATGTTTATTGTTTGTGATGTGTGTCTATATATGTATGAACACGTTGTACTGAACGGGGTGAAAATAGCTTGAGTTACCTCATCTCTTTGTGTGTATTTTACCTCAATAACTTATTTCAATTTCAATTTCATACGTGTCGCAGTTTCCGTGATTACTTCACTTTACTCTAGGGATGTTTACTACTATGACCAAACAAAAAAATACCATCTTGACAGGTTGTTGCTTTTTATCTGAATACTCGTAGGTTATATCCCTTTCTCGTTATATAACTTAGCCGGCTCTTATTCTTATCTTTTTTTTAAGATATTGTCACATCAAGTGGGAAGCCATGCCACGGGTTATGCATGTCACAGCATGTGGAAGGGATGCCAGAGCAGGGAAAGGCATGCTGTGGCAGGGGAAGACATGCCATGGCAGTATTTATGCATGCCACAGCACTTGGAATGGATGTCATGGCAAGGAATGTTACATCAAGAGAAATGTTAGCCATGGGTATGGCACAGAATGGCAAGGCATGGCATAGCATGGACAAGGCATGGAGAGCATGGACAAGGCATGGCATAGCATGGACAAGGCATGGCATAGCATGGACAAGGCATGGAGAGCATGGACAAGGCATGGCATAGCATGGACAAGGCATGGCACAGCATGGACAAGGCATGGCATAGCATGGACGAGGCATGGCACAGCATAGACAAGGCATGGCATAGCATGGACAAAGTATGGCATAGCATGGACAAGGCATGCCTTTTAGGAAAAAAGACACCAATAATTTATTGTGTCAAATGACAAGAAGCCAGAGTGAATTCATACTCGTCAAGCTCATATCGAAGTCTCCCACCCCACCCCCAAGATCGAATTACTGACCCCGCCCAGGATGCAACCCCACAACAAGCTGACTAACTCCTGAGTACCTACTTACTGCTAGGTGGACAGGGGCATTAGGCGATAGGAAGTGCACCCAACCATTTCTGTCTCGCCCAGGATTCGAACCCGGAATTCTCGATTGTGAGTTGAGAACGAACCCAATGTTCTACCGGGACCCTTTATAGTAGTCCTTGCCTTCTTATAAATACATAAACCCCTCTGTACTCTGACCATTATGTGCAATAAGTTTCATAGGGCAAAAGACAAAAAATAGACAGTCAATTCATACATTTATTATTTTCAACTATATACAGAAGTTTTGGTTATAGTAATTAATTTGCTTCTTATCTTGTCTCCCATTCATCCCCTCTTATTGAGACATGCTAATAACAGTCTTTCCTCTAGCATGACCATTAATAACATAACTATATGCTTCTGGCGTTTCAGTAAATGGGAAGACTTTATCAACCACTGGTCGAATCTGAAATTAAGGAGAACATTTTAATCAGTAGACATTTCCAATTCTTACAACTCTTAACACTCTAAGAAGTAATTAATGCAGAAAATAAGTCATAATAATGTTGCTGAAAATTAGACACCCAACCCATAATTTGCTACAAATTACCTACTTAAACTTATGTTAGATTAAGGACCTGCCCGAAATGCTATGAATGTTAGTGACTTTACAAGAATGTAAAATCATTAATGCTATGTATTCTCATGAACCCAATGTACCTTCCTGAATATAATATATAAATAAATAAATCAAATAAATAATTAAAAACAATATTTAGTGTGTATTACCTTACATTCATCAAGTCTGAATACAAAAAAGAAATTTCAGGATACCAAAACATCATTATAAGAATCCTTTAACCCCTCTGAACAACCAAATGTATCACTGAACACTGCAGAGAATGTGGGGAATATGGTACCTAATTCATTAATTATAATGTATTCTTAAATATCCCAAGATTGCTCTAGATCATGTATTTAATTTTTAAAAAAATCTCTATAATGATTCAGGATATCAAAAAACATTCGCTACTGTATTATGATCCAGGATATCAAAGAACATTTTCTATGATGTTCCATACAGAGCAATTTAGCATCTTATGAGTATATTCTCATTCTAATGCTAACTCTAAAATTAAGCAATATTTCCTCTCAGTTTTGCATTGCATTGCATAGCCACCCTAAAAAGAACTTAAAGGAACATGTTTGCAAGTTTAACATGTTATACTTACACCTATGGAACATCGACTGTGTGTTACATGCCTTGCAACCCTTGTCAAAGCACCATGAACTATGAATATAGGAAATATGAAACATGACGTACATAGCTCCCATCCCCATAGGAACAAACACAATAAGTAATTACATGCCTTGAATCACTGTCAAAGTGCTATAAACTTCACAACACCCTATGTAGTCACTAAATTAACTACACATGGTACCTTAAACTTTTCAGCTCCCTGAATCCCTGATGGTTCATGGCCATTAGTTGTAAGAAAATGCATATATAATTTTCACTATTCAAGGAGAAATTTAAAAATAAATATAGCTAAAATTATACAGTACTGTACTTACATTACTACAGTATCATTATTTTTAATAAACAAAAATACCAAAACACCTAATGAGAATAATGATATTAAACCCTACCTTCTGACTGGCTAACATTTCTGTGATTTGCTTTAGGGCACATGGGTTGGGCGTATAGAAGGACCATTTGTAAGTTCGCCCTTCTGACAAGGAAGTAACATTCCTCCACAAAAGGTCCTTTGTACTCTGAAAAAAGTTATAAAAAAAGTGTTTAGTATATATACAAACATTCAGTTTGTTCTCACATGTATGTGGCAAGTTATAATATCATGCCTGGTAATCTAAACCTCTAGCTTGTATAAGGGCATGTCCATTAGACAAATATGCCATTGAATCTTGAATGTCATTTCCTTATTACATCAAGTGTGGTTAGTTAGTATCCCTTCCATTGCATTTATGTGTTTCAACCTCACAGTGGTTTAGAAATATCATAATGTGGGCATGAGATAAGATATATACCATATAGTAGTAAAAGCCAAGGCATGCAACTGTAAATAAAACAGGTAATTAAGCTATACAATGTTAAATCATATATATAGATGGATAGAACGTGATGTTAGATATAGATGAATATTCATGTATAAAATGATGAATGTATGTGAAGAAATACCTTGACAAGGCCAACCATCATGCCCAGATCATCTATGTTTCGTAACAACGGTGATGTGAGCGTAACATAGGAAGCTCCCTTCCAGGGCTTCAGTGCTTTCATGTAGTCTAAGTCTTCAACACCAGAGGCATTAATCACAACATCAAAACTGTTGAGAAAATAATATTCTTATAAAATAAACAGTTAAGACAATATTTTGCCTTTTTCATTATTTTTTGAATGCAAATTTATCTTTCTATAAGGGGATTTATATTTATTTATTTATTATATTTATTATTTATAATTTTTTTGTACACACATGCATCTATCTCACTATAAGCTACAAGTAAGAATTTACAAAATCAAATGCCATGTGCTGTATCTGCTTTTCACTTACCCTCCATCTGCAATAAGCATACTTTTGGTAGCTGCATCTCTATAATCCATTGTTTCTACACCAAAACTTGCCACCATACCTTGTGCATCTGAAGAGCAGAGGCCAACAACCTGTAATACATGAAGCTTTTAATGCCAGATGAGCTTAGGAATATTTCTGCCATGATCCAATGAGATTTACTTGCATTTGACAAAGTTAATGTTGATCTAAACAAAGATTGACCAACACCTAGCAATTCTTGATCTTTGATATACAGCAGTATTGAGTCTGCTACATTCCTCATTAACAGCAACATGAATCCATGTAACCCTCTACTTGTTAAAAGGATCACCAGCCAAAGACACACTATTATGCAGAGTCAAATGCTGCTAACATACTAAATCACTAAGATTTGTTCTGCATACCAAGTAATTTGTTAATAATTTTCTAATAATGTACATATCTGTTTTCTCTAAAGTCTCCCATTGTCTTCAAATAAGTGCCATTTTCAGAAATTCTCCTTTCAAACCCACAGTATTCTAAGTTACAGCCTTGTTGAAAGTACTAGACACACAGTCATGATTATTATATATTTATAAAGTACAATACTTTTAAATAGAGCTGACAAACAATTGGGTTCACTCTTAACCCAGTCGAGAATTCCCAGTTCGTATTCCAGGAAGGAGAAAAATGGTTGGGCACATTTTCTACATTAGTATCACCTAATGCTCCTAATGTTCACCTAGCAGTAAATAAATAACCAGGAGTTAGTCAGCTTGTTGTGGGGTTGCACCCTGGTGAGTGTCAGTAGTTTGACATTGGGAGGTTATCCAAGGTATATAAACACTGTCTGCCTGTCCCCTGACACAACAAATTAGTGTTATTAATATAAGATAATGTAATATTTGCTTAGTACAGTACACTATTTCCTGTAATTTAATAATGTAGGAATGTCACTCTACTTCTTACTCAGTAATATAACAGGTTGTAATTAAACCAATCAAAGTGACCTCAGCACCCCATGATGAGAGGAGCTGACAGAGGAAGATTCCCACACCCCCTGAGGCGCCGATAATCAAGACACGAGACTGTGGGGCGGTAGTGGCGGTCACCATGCCTGTCAGTGTTACAGCACTCCATGCTGTTAGACCCGCATATGGGATGGATGCAGCTTGTTCAGTACTAACATTCTCTGGCTTCAAACAAACCTGCCACAAATATATTGAATTTAGGTTAGTATTACATTGCACTATAAAATTTGAGTTCTGAATAATTACAAAAATAATTTAAATGTACAGTATTTATATAGCAAAAGATTTCTTTCATTACAATCATTTTAATATGCAGAAAATCAGCTAATAAGGATAAAGAAATGTTTTCAATTTTCAGAATACAATTCAATTTTCTATATAATTTCATTGATTTTGAAGAAGATATTACAGTATTTGGATAATTATAATAAATCTATAATGATAAACTGAAAAGTTAGTCTGTCTGTACACTTTACATCTGGACACCATTGAACAGAATTCACACTAACTTTGCAAAACCTGAGGAAGGCCATAGACTATGGCCTTCCACAGCCATATTGGGTTTCAAGTTTCTGGACCCCCTGCCTTTAGTAATGAATGTCTTGATTCAGTAGCTATACTCATAGTTTTAACAAAATCAGCATCATGGTAGGCCTAAATACAAATATTATATACTGTAGTTTATAGTACATTGCTACCCTGTTTAACCTGTGGGTAGTGTTTAAACCTGAGGATAAATTCATACACAATTGTATTAATGTTCAGATAAGTGTTTTATTGTTCAAATGCACTTATGCTGAGGGTTTACCAGAGCACAGTGTGAGCTGACTGAAACTGTATTTAAACTGCCTCACTGGGCAGCATTATAGATACAACAATTAATATTTTTTCATAATTCATGCTATAGCAAAATCAAGGGTAGAAATAGCCTAAGCTACTCTATCCTTTTTGAGATGTATTTCTTTTTTTCAATAAACTTATTTGAACTATAGCAAAATGTGGAATTTTTACAATATGAAAACTCTGATTCTTACACTCAAAAGGTAAATTAGGTACTGTAAATAAATTAATCTGTATTAAAATAACTAAAAAGTAAATGTTTAAACTCATACACACATAACAAATAACTTTTGTGGGTTAGAAATATATTTGCTACAAATATTTTCCTGGGGAGAAGACTCGATTCCATTTCCCAACTTACATTGCATGCTGCAGTTACAACATACTCCGCATGTGAACCTTGATGTTGGGGACTGACTACACCAAGCACTTGGTCACCAGCCACCACACCCTTTACGTTTTGACCCACACATACCACCTCTCCTGCAAAGTCTCGCCCACCTGAAAAATTCAAAGAAACCCTAGCTAGAAAGTTAATTTATCTTTAACACCTGTTTTTGTGTAACCAAACAATTACCTAATTGTCCATACTTACTACTTCTTTTACAACATATTACTTTGTTAAAAAATCATAAACAAAAACATTGATATATTTTTTTTAAATATATTCAAAATTCTAAAGCCACTATGTCCAAAGAACAGGATTATGTATTAAGACAGGATGATATTCTCTCACCAGCACCATAGGGATATTTTCAATTACTGTACCTGTAGTTCTTTCAAAAAACCCTTCCAAGCCTTCCTTGTCATTACAAGTGACTGCCAATGTAGGGCTCTCACTAACTACCTACTGACCAGCCACCCCCACCTATGCAAACCTGCCACATTATCCTCACAACATGGTTCCCTAACCAGCCACCTCATTCTTCTTGATTATGTCTCATGTCAGTCAACAGGAGAGGATGAATTTCATTTAAACTTACTAATTTCATTCTAATCTTAGTTTTTGGTGGTCAGTGGGTCTATACTTATATTGTATATATAATGCTTCTTTTGTGGGTTCACAAGTCTTTGTGTCTTGATGTCACAATTGTTTAACAATTCCATGTTTAGGGTCAATGAGTCAGGCTGCTTTTTCTGTGTGGAACGTGGAACCTTGTGTCATGTTCCATGTGGTCTATGTCAGTGACTTAGCTGCCTCCTCCCGGAGAGGTGTGTGGTGGTACACTATGGCTGCTGCACATGCCTATGCAGGAAGTATTTAGCATTCTTTCTTGTAACATAAAAAATTAAATATGTTTCTTTAAACACATACACTGCTACTCTAAGTTACACACTATTTCTCATTCAATTAGTGTTGTTGCACAACACTGGGTTTCACAAAGCTTAGATTGGTTTCCTCCTTCTTAGAGATGTTTTATGTCTAAAGTGTGTGCCTTCTTTTCATGACTTTTTAAGTCATCAGGCACATGTTTAGTGTATGCTAATTTTCTTTCTCTAAAACTTGGGCTCCACTCACCTGCCTGACTGTGCATGATCCTGTCCTATGGATATGATGGATTTTACATTAGTGTGCAACCCAAATGATCTGCTCAGAAATTAGTTTTTCATTTCAAAGCCTTTTTTTATACAAATAATGAGAGCTGCTTTGCTATGAACATTCTCTAAATGTAAAACATACAACTAAAGTAAAACAGAAATAGTGAGGTAGCAAAAGCTATATTTGGCATGTATGATTCGCATGTCACGTGTATGTGTTTATATAAAAATTTATGAATATATAAGTAAATAAATAAATAAATAAATAGATAATTGTGTTTAAAAATGTATTGTAGAGCTCCATCAACCTGCACAGTCCAAAATAAGAAGCGTTAAAGTATGAAGATTATAAATCCAAATTATCCCATTTATTAAGTTCCTTAATACAAACCTGTTAATGGAAACTTCCTTTCCTCTTCTTTAAACGTTCCTTGCTTAACACGATCCATTGCCCGCATCATATTCAAAACTTTATCACCATAACCCTCTGGAATTATTTAGCTAGTTTTATAATTATGGAATCATTCTGGATTATTTTGTTTTATTCATTACAATAATCTTTCATTATTTCCCACTCACACTGGTTATTGTACATACAGCATATTCAGTATAGTACAGTATACAGTATATATACACTATCTAAATTTTGCATGTGCTATGCAGTACATATTTATTATTTTTTTAAATGATGCTGTACTAGTTTTTAACATTATTTTATGCAGAAAATCAACTGGTAAACATTACTTCATACTGTATTATATTTCGAATTCAATAAACAAGGCAGAATTCAAATATTAATGAAATGTCACACTCTGTAATCAAGCAAAATTAATACAAAATGAATACCAGTAATTACTAATAATTTTTGTGTCAATAGGATTTACAGAGGCAGCATGGACCCGCACAAGCAGATCTCCAGGGTCTAGGACTGCCGGTGTCCTCACAGAACAAAGCGAAAGCCCATCAACTCCATCGTAACGAGATGTCTGCCACGCTTTCATCCTAGGCCCGCTAGCTGAGTCAGCCTAGAGCAAGCATGATAAGAAATATAACCAAAAAAATATGTAACAGGATTTTCAAGTATCATTACATATAATGCAATTATAATTTAGATATTATATGGCTTTCAAATTCTTCTTCTAAATTGGTATTACATCAAGTGATAATCGTCCTTAAAGGCAAATGTTTGTTAGGGAGTCCAAGACTAGTTAGAAGCAAGTTATATTATATACGTAATATATGTTTATCATGACTAAAAGGGATATAAGATGGATATTAATATTCTGCTTTGGAAAGAATGGATAATATGTATAAATTCTGCAGTTCTAATTTTTTATGTATCATAATGAATGACACTACCGTACTGCAGTAAATATATATCTATTTACAGTATTTGCCTTTAAACATATATAATATGGATGTTATTCACTTTCATTAGAAACTGATCAATTTATTTCTCACATTAAGCAAAACATAACACAAGTACAGTACAAACAAACCTCAGTAAAAGGCATAGCTTTATGACAAGACACCGATAGGCCCCGCACTGAGCACGGTGTCTTGTGTAGAGACTTTCTAAAAACATTTGGGGTAGATCTTCGTCCTGCAGCAACAGCATGCCTCCCCATTGGCTGCACCTTCTTCACTTGGCATAGTACACCAATCATTGCTATTTTTTGATGTCCAACATATGAAACTAAATAAAGATTTTACATATTATTCTCATGATTAAAGAATAAGATTAAAGTAAATCTACAGTCTTAAGGCTCTGAGAACTGAGAGCTTTGCAACTAATATAAAGTACTGTAATTCACAAATCACCATAAATACCGTACAGTACCGTAATTATGGAAAATTATGCATGTACTGTACTGTATATTATATGTCCATAATAATGTGTGATCCAAGGGTTTCATAACCGATAATTTAATCATTTTATACAAACGTGCTGTGACCTTAATTATTAAAATTAGTCGTGTCGTGGTACAGATGACTAGAGCCTGTCTAGGAACATCCAGTGCATAGTTTCGAATCCTCATCAAGGCTCTTGTGAATTTGTTCAAAATTAGTATTATTACAAGTATATAATATGCAGAGTATTCCTCTATACAGTATGTACTAGAGTACCACATGTATACATGAATATGTTGCAACTCTACAATACCATATATAAATGAAGATGGTGTCAACTGGTGCTAGACATTAGTGAGATGTGCATTTGGATTATTGTATCCAAGCATGGAGACCACCTTTTCAGGACATAGCTGCTCTGGAGCAGGTGTAACACCAGGCAACAAAAGTCAATCCAGAGCTAAGTCATCTCTTGTATCAGGAACGCTTGAAGGCCACAGGGCCACAGGAAGGTTTGCAACACTGCAAACCAGGCATGACAGGGCAGATCTCATTTAAGTTGATAAAATACTGAACAAGTTATAGGGTGTTGATCCGGATATTTTCTTCAAAAAGTCAGATGTAACACAAATTAGGAGCAACGGTTTCAAGCTCAACAAGCCACAATGTAGGAACGGAAACAGGAGATGCTTTTTCACCCACAGGGTTATTAACCCATGGAACTGCCTACCCGCCGAAACTGTAACTGCCCAAACTGTGTTGTGTTTCAAAATATACCTGGAAAAAATCTTCAAGGCTATGGGGGGAGGGGGAACCTTCGACAAGCTGCCGGCTTCCTGTCCTTGTTGTGGCCCCCAGGTAAATCCTGTAAAAAATAGGTAAATGCCCACTGGTACAACTTAAGAGTGTACACACACACTCAATGCACGTACATGACTCAAGCACTGTCCACAGTTTATTACAAGATAAGATAACCACTACCTATAAGCTATCCTGATACAGAGATACCTTTAGAATACTACTGCAGCTTATGTCATATACATAACAGCAATATATGAGTCTCTTCAATTACAAATAATCACTTTTTGTAACAAAATACAACTATAAACAAAAGCGTAGCTAAATATTATTACTAATATAGACAGCAGACAAGTTGACAGAAGTTTCTTGAGAAAATTTGTTTACATTTCCGTTCGTGGTCAAAAAATCGGATGCTTAAGCCGGATTACGATTCACCTCGTTTTTTGTTTTAAAAATAATAAAAGTTATATAAATTACGGTGACCATTCCAATTGTAAACTATGTGAACAAGAGCTAGAACAAACTCTCCAACACTATATCTGTGATTGTCCTGTTATCAGTGATTTCAGACCAAATGGTATGAGGTATTTTGAGCTCAGTAATCACTTCATACACTCAGAAATATTGGAAGATATTCTTGTGCTATACCTTTGCTAGTGGAGGCTAATAGATCACCCTTACATTTCATGTTCTCTCCTGATTCCATGTATTATTATTATTATTATAATAATAATAATAATAATAATAATAATAATAATAATAATAATAATAATAATAATAATAATAATAATAATAATAATAATAATAATAATAATAATAATAATAATAATAATAATAATAATAATAATAATAATAATAATAATAATAATAATAATAATAATAATAATAATAATAATAATAATAATAATAATAATAATAATAATAATAATAATAATAATAATAATAATAATAATAATAATAATAATAATAATAATAATAAATAATAATAATAATAATAATAATAATAATAATAATAATAATCCTGTGAAATGGGATATTAGATCATTAGATTATCAAATTTGAGATATTAGATTATCAAATTTGTGTTTATATATCCTAATTTGTATTTATAAACAGGTAATTAGAGAAAAAGAAGCAGGATAGGCTTCCGTTCTTAATACTCTTAATATTAATATTAAAAATATTAATATGTTGTAGTTTTATTTTTGATTAAACATTTGGTTTTAATTTTAAATAGTGAATTAACACAAATTTCCAGAGTTCACAGTTTTCAAGAGAACAATAAAGATAATAACAGAGTAAATATAAACAATTAAATATACAATTATTTACGTTATGTATTTGATATTACAAAAATGCGATTCATCCAGAGCAGAAATATAAGGCACATTACTTAAGGGTCTCAGTTTGTGGGATGTACCACATCAAATTGTTTGGATGTGTGATAATGGTATGATAGAATACTTAGGAGCTACAAGAATTTTGCCCCAAGAGTGTAACACTTATATGCTGTGCTTACTATATTAACCTGCAATGTTAAATGGGATTCTTGTGCTGTATTGTGATTTGTGTATTTGTACTCACTGAATTTGTGCGCCCCTTGAGGGACTTGAAGTAGAAGGGGGTAGAAATAGCCTAAGCTACTCTATCCCTTTGAGATGTATTTTTTTCTTGTCTCAATAAACTTACTTGAACTTGAACTTGAATCTCTCAAATGTAACTAAAAGATGCGCTTTTGTCAACCAATTTAAAAGAAAGTCTAAGACATATCAAATTAACATCATGTAACAGATGTCACTCACATTTCTTTAATCAAAATAAATCAGCTTTGTGCTCTGCTGTTATTATACATATTAAATATTATAATAAAGCAGTCTATGCTTTTCCCCATTAAGTATCACTTAAGACTTACTTAATCACTTTCAAATTTCTTGAACAATCCATGTATATTTACCTGAATTTACCTGAGGGCCCCTAATATTAGTGGCCTCAACGAGGACAGGAAGCCGGCGGCTTGTCAAATGTCAGCCCAGTTTGCCCTGATGAACTTTTCCGGTTGTATTTTAAAACCCAGCAGTTTTGTCATTTATGTCTTCGGCGGGTAGGCGGTTCCATGGGTTTACAACCCTGTGGGTGAAAAAGCATCTCCTATTCTCAGTCCTACATTGTGGTTTGTTGAGCTTCCAACTGTTGCTCCTCGTTTGTGTGACATCTAACCTTTTGGAGAAATTGTTCGGATCAATAGCCTCCAAAATGTTCAGGGCCAGATTCACGAAGCAGTTACGCAAGAACTTACGAACGTGTACATCTTTTCTCAATCTTTGGCGGCTTTGTTTACATTTATTAAACAGTTTACAAGCATGAAAACTTCTCACTCAACTGTTGTTACTGTAATAAACAGCCTCCTGGTGCTTCGGAGCTCATTAACTGTCTAATAATTGTAAACAAAGCAGCCGAAGATTGAGAAAAAATGTACACGTTCGTAAGTACTTGCGTAACTGCTTCGTGAATCTGCCCCCAGTATTTTAAGTTACAATGATATCCACTCTGTCATGCCTGGTTTGCCATGTTGTTAGCCTGGTGGCCCTCAACCGTTCCTGATACGAGAAATGATTTAGCTCTGGAATTACTTTTGTTGCCCGGTGTTACACTTTCTCCAGAGAGAAGTTATGTGATCTGCTCTAGACGACGGACCATTATTCTTATTGTATTTATTGGAAATTGTTTCCCCTGGGGGCCGGGCCTTTCCTAACCCTCAGCTGGGTGTACTCCATTACCTTAAGTTAGACCCAACAAAGCTTTCTAACAGTGCTATACTCAAAGAGTAGAGGAAGAAAGAAGTATTCAAAGAGGTGAAAGGGTCCAAGATACTAATCTATCCTGCAGACTACCACAGTCCCCCAACCCATCGTCTTCTCCCTCACCTAGAATGTTTACTAACATGTCGATAGTTTGTGATGGATAAATATATACGTTGTACTGAACGGGGTGAGAATAACCTGAACTACCTCATCCCTCTGTGTGTATTTATCTTAATAAAATTATTTCAATTTCAGTTTCACTCTCTCCCTTCCTCCCTTCCGGAACAGGGGGAGTCACTTACTATGCCCGGCAGCTCTCGGCCAGAACACTGTTGTCGTATTAGCCGAGGAGAGGGTTGGTCACTGGCTATCGCCAGTTCTCGCCTCAGAGGTGAATTCCAGTTTTAATTTATCCGAAAACCTCATCCATGATTCAGCTGACGCCTCGAAGCACCTCTCCTTCCTCTCTCTCTTATTTCTTGTTCCTCGGCCTTCTTCTTCAACTTCCACATTACTTTCCTTTCCTCTTCTTCCTGATTCTCTTGCATCTTACTGTTATTCTGTTCTTACTACTCCATTACTTTATTCACCTTCTCATATTATGCTCCTATTCTCTCTATATATATATATTTTATCTTTCTTCTCTTACTCCCTTTCTCCTGTTTTTGTCAAAAATGTTCATTCTAGCCTCTCCTTAATCATATTCCTCTTTCTTCTGCTATTACTTATGTTCCTCATTCTCATATTTCTTCTGATTTACTTTTTTCTCTTCATTTTGTTGTTACCCCATTTAATGGGTATGGGGTGCATTTATTGTGCACCCCATACCCATCCTGTGAGCGGTAGCGCAAAAAACATTTCAGAGGGCACAAAAGGTCTTTATCAGACCTCATCTTAGATTATTACATAAACAATTTCATCTATCCTTCACACCTTATAGTTACAATGTCAGCTAGTTACAGAGAAAGTGCTATTTCAAGAGCTATATATTTACAGTAAGTCATTATACATTAATGGTAGGTCTTATCGCTAATACATAATAGTTCAGAGTCATAGGGGAGCTTCTGTTTATTATTAGTCTTCACAATACACTACTTGTTTCTGAATCACATATTAACCTCCTCATCCTGTTCCTCCACTGTTCTAGAGAGAGTCGAACAATGATACATGACTTATTTGTATTCAGAAGCTGCACAAAAGCTCTTCCGTCTGCCCTCTGCTCCTCACACACACACACACACACACACACACACACACACACACACACACACACACACACACACACACACACACACACACACACACACACACACCTGATTGATTGTACACCTGTTGATTGACGGTTGAGAGGCGGGACCAAAGAGCCAGAGCTCAACCCCCGCAAACACAACTAGGTGAGTACAACTAGGTGAGTACACACACACACACACACACACACACACACACACACACACGCACGCACACAATGAGGGAGGGAATTATCAGGGGAAAGCGCCAAGCCATTACTACTATATAGCACTTGGAATGGGTTAGGATAAGAATTTGGGATGGGACGGGGGAAAGGAATGGTGCCCAACCACTTGGATGGTCGGAGATACACACACACAGAGTGGGACATAACGTCACTAGTGGTAATAGTCTTAATACGTCACTGTAGTTAATGTTCGGACGAACAAGAGTAAGCAAGCCTACAAACAGTACACACGCCATCTATGGTATATGTTATCTACAATAAACATAACTTTGGGTATTTGGGTAAGATTTTGGCTAATATATTATCATAAAGGGGGAGTAGAAATAGCCTAAGCTACTCTATCCCTTTGAGATGTATTTTTTCTTGTCTCAATAAACATACTTGAACTTGAATTTAACAGTCTCCGTGGTGTAGTGGTAAGACACTCGCCTGGCGTTCCGCGAGCGCTATGTCATGGGTTCGTATCCTGGCCGGGGAGGATTTACTGGGTGCAATTCCTTAACTGTAGCCTCTGTTTAACGCAACAGTAAAATGTGTACTTGGATGAAAAAACGATTCTTCGCGGCAGGGGATCGTATTCCAGAGACCTGCCCGAAACGCTACGCGTACTAGTGGCTGTACATGAATGTAACAACTCTTGTATATATCTCAAAAAAAAAAAAATATCATAAAGGTTGTATCTTATGAATCTATATAGTTTCAGCACCGTAAATATATATATCACAGCTGGAATTCGTGTTGACATAAACAAAGGTGAAGGAATACATGAAGAAAGGAATACAAGTTAATTAACAGTTGAGAGGCGGGACCAAAGAGCCAGAGCTCAACCCCCACAAGCCCCCTAGGTGAGAACATGGAGACGTCTGCATGGCTCAAGAACCACCAGGCAACTGGGGGATTATTATAGAGACGGAAGGTATAAGAAGAAAGGTAAACATCAAAACAAGTGAAGCACGAGGGAGGGGGGGAGGGAGTGGACACCTGCAGGATGATCGACCGAAGGAGCAGGAGGAGGAAGGTGCTGGGATAGGAGGCCTATGCCACTCTCCCACCTCCCATCCCTCTCCCCCTTCCTTACACACCTGCAGGATGATTGACCACGGTTGTGGTGTGTGTGGGGGAGAAAGGAGGGGGCAGGATAGTGTAGGCAGACTCCATTCCAGTGTTGTGGAGGCAGGTTCCTTACACGGGTTGTGGAGCGGTGGAGGGAGACTCCGTATAATGTACATGTATTCAAAATAAGACATAACAGAATCCAAATGGTAAGGGATCAACTAAATCGGTCGCCTGATGGTTGAGAGGCGGGACTTGGGAGATAAGGCTCAACCCCGCCAACACAGCTAGACATGTAGAGAAAGCAGAGACATGAGCGGACATGATGTTAGTGCGTGTGCCAGAATTGGGGTGAGTCACCTCCCCACATCCTCTGCTGCTCTCACTCACTCTCACTCACACTCTCACTCAGCCAGTAAACTCACTCAGCCAGTAAACTCACTCAGGCAGCAAACTAACTCATGCACTGCACTTGTTTAATACACCCGTTGAATGTACTCGATCACAATATAACGCACTTTTAAGTGGTTAGGTCACTACAAATGTATATTGCAGGACTTAAAGAGAATTGAGATCCAGTTTCCTGAACCCATTATTACGACTAACCTTTCCACCACCGCCCACAGGATTGGTGGGTCTATGAACTAATCAATCTAGACAATCCTGCCGCAACCTGCAAGCCTCCTGGGGGCCTCTCACGTCTGACTACTGTCATATTCCATCTCTTTCTACCTATTTCTGTAACTACGTAGGAGAATGAACTTACATAATTGCCGTTCTCTTAATGTGAACGTTATTTAATCTTCTCCCGGGGCAGTCTAATATTCGGGTTAATTAGTTTAGTAGAGTTTAAGTTGCATTTTATCGTGCCAAGACAATATTGTAATCAAGAGTAATTACACCATAGAACTTTGTAATACTGGGTTCTTGGTGACCTGCTGCTACACACACGGGGCAGGTCACGGTGGCCTGCTGCTACACACACGGGGCAGGTCATGGTGGCCTGCTGCTACACACACGGGGCAGGTCACGGTGGCCTGCTGCTACACACACGGGGCAGGTCATGGTGGCCTGCTGCTACACACACGGGGCAGGTCACGGTGGCCTGCTGCTCCACACACGGGGCAGGTCATGGTGGCCTGCTGCTCCACACACGGGGCAGGTCATGGTGGCCTGCTGCTACACACACGGGGCAGGTCATGGTGGCCTGCTGCTCCACACACGGGGCAGGTCACGGTGGCCTGCTGCTCCACACACGGGGCAGGTCATGGTGGCCTGCTGCTACACACACGGGGCAGGTCATGGTGGCCTGCTGCTCTACACACGGGGCAGGTCACGGTGGCCTGCTGCTCCACACACGGGGCAGGTCACGGTGGCCTGCTGCTACACACACGGGGCAGGTCACGGTGGCCTGCTGCTCCACACACGGGGCAGGTCACGGTGGCCTGCTGCTACACACACGGGGCAGGTCATGGTGGCCTGCTGCTCCACACACGGGGCAGGTCATGGTGGCCTGCTGCTCCACACACGGGGCAGGTCACGGTGGCCTGCTGCTACACACACGGGGCAGGTCACGGTGGCCTGCTGCTCCACACACGGGGCAGGTCACGGTGGCCTGCTGCTACACACACGGGGCAGGTCATGGTGGCCTACTGCTACACACACGGGGCAGGTCATGGTGGCCTGCTGCTCCACACACGGGGCAGGACACGGTGGCCTGCTGCTACACACACGGGGCAGGTCATGGTGGCCTGCTGCTACACACACGGGGCAGGTCATGGTGGCCTGCTGCTCCACACACGGGGCAGGTCATGGTGGCCTGCTGCTCCACACACGGGGCAGGTCATGGTGGCCTGCTGCTACACACACGGGGCAGGTCATGGTGGCCTGCTGCTCCACACACGGGGCAGGTCACGGTGGCCTGCTGTTCCACACACGGGGCAGGTCATGGTGGCCTGCTGCTCCACACACGGGGCAGGTCATGGTGGCCTGCTGCTACACACACGGGGCAGGTCATGGTGGCCTGCTGCTCCACACACGGGGCAGGTCACGGTGGCCTGCTGCTACACACACGGGGCAGGTCATGGTGGCCTGCTGTTCCACACACGGGGCAGGTATATCCATTATATTCTTGAACTGGAACAGCGCAAAGTAGTACAACCGCCCACATGAATTATTCATAGAAAATGGGCGTGACGGAAAAGCGTCTACACGTGAAAGTAGCAGGGAACAATGGCATTAATGTTATTCATGGAACAATGTTACTCACGGCCGATTGAGTAACATTTGTGCGACCCAGCATGGTGAAGTGATTTGATGAAATAGCTGTGCCCAAAACTGTCACGAGAGCTGTCGAATATTGGGTTAAGAGTCAGACGGCTTTCCAACACTTTTGTACAATCTGATGGTAGAGTGGTTATAGTACTGGACACATCAAGGGACATGGAGACCCTGGCTGACCGGGTTCGAATCCTTCAAGGGTCAAGAGTTTTCTGATGCATGTTGACTTGGGGACCATTCAAGCTTGACTCATATAATATATATATATATATATATATATATATATATATATATATATATATATATATATATATATATATATATATATATATATATATATATATATATATATATATATATATTACTTGGTGGTGTCTGAGCCATATGTTGGGAACCCCCAGAATGCAAATCTGTAATTAGAAAATGTGTTTTGCATGCCAATATTATGAACAGCTAATAAAACTCTAAGGACTCGATGACCACTATTTCATTACCACCGACTTCATGGGGGCCGCCATGGGAACTGAAAACCCTTTAAGGGGGCAATGGGGCCAAGCCTGACCAACCTACGACATGCCCTTACCATCCATCAGGTGTCCTGCAAAGTTTAATGGGCCTAGCAACTCCAGCATCTGGTTTCAAACCTTGAATATAGAAACATTTGTTTTTTAAATAGACTGAGAGAGGTCTCTCTGGAGTAGTACCATTATTTTTTTCTGATTTGCCAAGTTACTGGGCAACCCACATTCCTTGGATCGATGTGTCATTTTATACCCTTGTCATGGAACTGACGAAAATGTTTGTTTGTGTGAGGTCACAATTACCATATATGATTAACCTGGTCTTACTAACTCCTCAACACACAAATATGTATTATATCTTATCTACCCAGCATCACAGGGGGAAGTAATGTCAACAAATATTTAGAGAACCGGTTTCCAAATATAATGTATATAAAGTCATGTTAAATTATTTAAGTTCCTGCCTCTACATATTACCAATCAACTTAACAGAGAAATGACATCGTTTTTGAGAGCCAAATTTACTAACTAGGCAGCAAATGGCCGGCCTGGGCCAGAAACTGTTGTAGGGACGCTAAGTGACGTGGCCTTCGCCCGCCTCTGCTGCTGTGTTGCCATATACTCAACAGTTCCTCGCTTCATAAATACCATCTGTCATCTCCATTTGGTTGAATGTTTTCGTGAATTTAGCCATGGAAGGCACGCAGTACTGCCCGAGAGATTCCTCACGCGCCGGGAATGCGTCGGGGGCGAGTACTACGAGTACTGACGTTGGTAACACTGGCGGGTCTTGGAGCGCCGCCAGGCACATCACACGGCCAAGCCAACTTGCTAAGCTTGAAAATACTATTCAGAGTAATACAAACTCATCCAGGTCATTTTAGCACTACTACCCAACTGGTTCATGTTGACAATGTGTGATGGGGAGGCCATGACACTGCATACTTGCTGGCCTGACCCCCACGACATGCAGTGTTGCAGAAGGTTATCTTGCCCCAGTCAAGTTCAAGCCACACGTGTCAAACTCATCAGAAAAAGGACAAAAATCCACCCTTAAGCAACATAACCAACACATACAAATGATTCTCAAACAATAAATTATTTCCTAAGTAACCAAAGTATTTGAAAATGCACGAGGAAGGGAGGAATATAGGAGTAAATGAGAGTGGGAGAGAAGTATGCGGGTGTGCGCGCGCAGGGGAGGCGGCGCCGGTGGCTGCCGTATATATACCAGCAGCGGGCGGTGGTCACTCCGCTGGTGCCTTCTGTAGTATCTATTGTGTGTGTGTGTCACCCTCGGGCTGAACCCTTCACCATGGGTAAGGTCCTCCTTCTGTTTTTGGTATTAGTGCAGCAAGTGTAGATATGTGTTATAAGTTCAAAAATTTAAGTTCTGTTTGGTTATTTTTTTGTTTTCCTTTGACATCTCTGGCACCATGAAATGCGGAAATGGTTTCGTATTTTTTTCTCTTGACAGTCATGAGTTTTTTTTATGGGGGGGGGGGCGGGAGGGGAACAATTAATAATGTAGTGAGCCGGAAGTCAGCTGGAGTATAAAATGTTTGGCTGCTGTCTGGGTGAAGAATGTTTCGGGGGATTATGTGCTTAAGAGCCACGCCCACTGACACGCCCAAGATCCTCCACCGGCCGTTGTTTATAACACCCCCCCCCACCCCCCACCCCCCTATACCCTAGACGCTGTAATGACTCCAGCTGCAGCCTCCCCTCCCCCTCCTCCCATGGCAACGCCCGCCAGTTACCATTACAGCTACCTAGTGCAGTCTTCCCCCTCACCATCATGCACTACCTCACAATGGTCTGAACCATGCATACCTTCCGTCGACACCATGCGCCACGCCCCCTTCCCCACAACCCTCACCATGCACACACACCCCCTACCCCTGATTTCATCCCCTACACACCCCTCTCCCCCTGATCTCATCCCCTACACCCCCCTCCTGCGCCTCTCCCCTACACAGCCCCCCCTGCCCGCTGTCTTCACCACTCCTCTCCAGAAAATGGGGATGTGTATCCTTCCATTGATCTATCTGCATTGGGGAGAGGGGGGACTGTCCCTTGGCGTTGCACTGGAAAGTCTGCATTAGTTGTGGTTCTGTCTATAGTTGTCAAATTTCTATACAATAAATATTTCACACAAAACTATGACGCTTAAATAATTCCTTGACCCCTCTAGACCTTATCTCCATAAGGCTCCTTGCCCTTGACCCCTCTAGACCTTATCTCCATAAGGCTCCTTGCCCTTGACCCCTCTAGACCTTACCTCAATAAGGCTCCTTCCCTTCCCGCATCGTATTTGTCTGTATAGTTCTTGACAATGCTAAATTGATGTTTGTTATCCATGGGGTAGATACTCCGGTGCATTTGGCTAATTGTACAGTTTGTTATCCATGGGGTAGATACTCCGGTGCATTTGGCTAATTGTACAGTAAAAAAAAGCTGGCTAAACCCTAGGCATAGGCAAATGAACCTCTTGACTTCTAGGAAAAGAACGTAATTATTCAGGTGTATAAATCTCTGGTGCATCCTCGCTTGGATTACAGTACTGTATTCAAGTTAGGAGACCTCCCCACCCCCCCGACCTTCTGAAAGACATGTTTGTTTTCGAGACAGTTCAACACCAGGCAACAAAAAAATCATCCTAGAACTACGTCAGACTACCAGGAAAAGAACTACCAGGAAAACTTGAGGGCCACATATGGCTAAACACTGCAAACCAGATATGATAGAGCTGATCTTGCCGAAACTATTTTGCAGTTAAATTGCAGTGTTTGAATAGCTGACTTTGAATCTCAGAAAATTACTCTTTTAGTATTTTTTTCAGTGGCTGTGACACTTTGTAGTGTAGCTAATCTATATTTATAAAATAGAATGTCTGTCCAAGGTTGGTGGTCAGACGCTTGGGGCTAGCCTCGCCCAACTTTCCGTGATGAGTCGTGTTGGGTCGGGGAGTGTCATAGGCCACTCGATGTTGACTTAAGTGAAATGCTTGAAGATACGTCTGCATTTATAAAGACCACTCATGCGATTTTCACAAAATCAGAAAAATGTGTTGTTCCCATTGTTGTTAAGCAGTTAGTGCTTCGTAATAATACATTTTCTGATAGAGGGGGGAGACAAGGGGGAGAAGTTGGATGAAATGAGAGGGGGTCAAGGGAGGGAAGAGACCCGGGCACAGCCAGGTACCCCGTCTGGCTCTGCATGTGTGGAGACGAGCCAAACCAGTTGTTTAACCTCTCACTAAATGGATATAAATAAGGATTAAAATACTAATGAAGCCATGTGCAGACGACGAGTCACAATAACGTGGCTGAAAAATGTTGACCAGATCACGCACTAGAAAGTGAAGGGACGACGACGTTTCGGTCCGTCCTGGACCATTCTCAAGTCGATTGTGGAATCGACTTGAGAATGGTCCAGGACGGACCGAAACGCCGTCCTCCCTTCCCTTTCTAGTGTGTGGTCTGGTCAACTAATGAAGCCATGTTCTATAAAACGGCTCAAACAGAGCAAGTATGGATAAAGGTCATACATGATTAAGGAAGCGTACATTAATATGGACAAAAACGTGTACGAAACGTGGTTTTCATATTAACTTTTTCTAAAAGGAATAGAAATCTAGAATTAATTTTTAAATCGCGCTAAATAACAAATTTACCTGAGGCCCTCCATCTACAATGGTCTCTACGCAAGCTTGACAAATATGCTTGCCCGAAACCTTGCTTGACAAACCTTACCCGAAACGCTATGCGTACTAGTGGCTTTAGGTATTGTATATACTACCTCCATCTTTAAAAATAACAGAATGTTAGTACTGTAACTCTGCAACTATGTATGTACTGTTCCCAAATAAATTATTATTATTATTATATCTGTGTAGGAACCAAGTGTCTTGGCCCTCAGTTGCGTAGGAATGTTAAGACTTGTTGATTTCCATAAAGGTCTTCTCCTGACCCCTCCCCCGTCCTCCACGCCCACTACCACTCGTGTTGTATACCGCTGACGTCAACCACAAGAGCGTCTTGGAGAGGGAGGTGTGGGAGCTTGGGGGGCGCGGAGGATTTAGGGTGCGGTTGTATGTGGTAAGCGCAGAGGTACAAGAGTGTATTTACGCAGTTGTGTTTACCTGTGTATTTACTTATCTGGTTCTTGAGGTACACTACTTGGTTACATGTTGGTTTGGTCTACGTTAGTCGTGTCAGTTTTTTGCAGTTAAGCTGTAAAATAAAGATGCCATAAAAGTGCATTAAACTTGGACTACCTTCAGTACACAGACCTTTGTAAGCCTCTTGAGTAGTGATTCCAGTTAACTTCACATGTCGTATAGTCTCCGTTGTCGAATAACTCTCAATTACCGAGGTTAACACACACTAATGCAAAGTTAAACTTGCACGTGGCTGTTTACTGTTAGATGAATAAAGACGAAAGGTTAGGTGAAAGCTAGGCAAACTTACCGGAAATAGGAGTCTGGAACAATAGATTGAGGGCAGACTGCATTAATCGGTGCGCTACTGGTCACTCCATAATTCCTTTGGAAAAGCTGCACCTTTTTGTTGCTCTGTATTTTGCGTGCAGTGGTATATGGTGTCCCTTGTGCTTTATACTTTGGCTTATTACCAGTCTATAGTTGCATCTTCTGGAGTCTCTTGTGCTTCAGACGTAATTACCTAAGTGTAGTTACAGGATGAGAGCTACACTCGTGGTGTCCCGTCTTCCCAGCACTCTTTGTCATATAACGCTTTGAAAGACGTGATTCAATGCACGTGTGTATTCTAGAACTCGCCTGATAACCTGTGCATTCTTTCAAAGTTATTCTTAGACTTACCAGTACGCTTATGTCCAGTGGGAGCTTAGAGTTAGTACTGATGTAGTCTATCTATTCCCAGCTCTAATAACTGAACTCTTCCTGGCATGCAGCGCCTTTCCCAGCTTGCTTTCCTCTTCCATCTGCATTACCTTCCATCTGGGATTTAACGTGAGGCAGAAAGATTCTACTGTCGCAACCTACAATCTTTTGGTGTTCGATCTCATAGTTATATCGAAAGGTTGGACCTTTGTTTCCTGTATGCGAGGGAGTACTGTAACTAGTTTAGCATCCTTGGTTACCCCACCCTGCATAAATAAATATCTGAGGTCCTTAGTGAGGACGGTATCAAACATTTATATGCAACATTTTGTGTTGTTAAACTAGCAAGGTCGGCGTTTGATCCCAGATGGCCAAAGCGATTGGGCATGGTTCCTTAATTTTGTCCTCCACTAAAATATCATACTAGCGTTCTGCTTTCTTACCTCCAAAATCATTGTAATTCATCCCTCAAAGAATTTCTCGGTCAAACAGAGTGGTAGTGGGAATTGTAAAGCTCCTTTGCTGGCGAAGGAAAAATAAAATATATCTAGGTAAAGTTTGGATTGACCATAATCTTGTCTTTTTACCCTGGTTCGCTGTAAACTAACCCCAAGGTTGCATCTTTCATGAGCATTGTGTTAACTTTAGTACAGACGCTCGAGTATTACCACACACCTTCAACCTCAAGAATGTAGCGCTCGGCGTATACAGTTCCAGCCGACCCCGAGACGCATCAACTTCGACTCTGAGCAGACAATCAGACTACGACGTATCGAACGTCCACACACTTCTAGTTCCGCATACGACCGCATCGAGCTTCTACACTAGTTCCGCATCGAGCTCCACGACTCCGGCCTCACTCAGCTCTCTGCTCTGCTCCCGGCTTCGTCTTAACTTCTAGGAGACTGCCAACAGTCGACTGCTGTAACCAAGACTACTAAATAAACATAAAAATAAACATACACTGAACACTCTATCTAATCTACCCAATAACGTAACACAAACGTACTTTACAAGAGTTCTTACATTCTTTTAGTCACTAGCACGCATAGCGTTTCGGACAAGTCCTTAATCCTATGTTCACGGAATACGACCCGCCAAATCGTTTCACAACGGGGTATCCATTTTACTGTTAGGTTAAACAGAGTCTACAATTAAGGACTGGTACCCAGTAACTCCTCTCCGGTCAGGATACGAATCCAGGGCCAAAATGCTCGCGAAACACCAGGCGAGTGTCTTCCCACTTCGCCAAGGGGACTATGTAATCTTCCAAGCTTGTCAATTATTTTGTTCATTTATTATGCACCCTATACCCATCTTGTGGGCTGTAGTGGAAAGAGTTACAGAGGCACATAAAGGACTCAAGGACTGAACCCTACAACTCATTTAGCTAAGCAAGTTACAAAATTCAATATACGTCGTCACATCATCAATGGGTTAGAGATCGATCAAAAGTACAGTTTCTAAATTAGGTAACTGACATATGTGGAGAGCTAGTGTCATAATTTATGTTTATCTTGCACACTGGCTATCCAGAGGGCAACGTTGGATAGGTTACACTTAGTTACTACCTACAGTTAGCAAACTGGGAATATTTGGCTAAAATTTCTGGTAGCAGATAATTTTTGAATGAGTTATTTACACATTTTCCCCCTACTCCACCCGGGGAAAGTCACGTGTCCACTGACTGCATCGTAACTTGATACCTAATTAACCGGGAGTTTTCTGGGTTATCTCAGAGATCGCCTCGTCGAGAGGCTAATAAATGGAGAACCACTGGGGTTTAAATCGGAGTACTGTACTTGCATAGACCAGTCCCCCTCTTACATTTCATAGTTAACGAATGGAGTGCATTAAGACGTGATGGAGGCAAACTTCATGCACTTGATCACTTTAATTACTCTTTTTAACCTAAACCTGTAGACACTAAATCTCACGGTTACCTCGCGTCAACTATAAGTAATGATTCCAAAACATGAACATTAAATTTAACAGTTATATGGTTGATAGTTAACATTTGGGTGCCTGGTGCCGTAACAAGTTTCATTTGGCAGAAGGAACAGAAACATCTTCACTGCAATCTTGCCTAACTGAGAATGACTATATTCCCATGCCTTCAGTGCCCCGAGGTATCTCCCCAGGATGAAAACTGGCCTACATACGAATTAGTCAATGGGAGGAAAGCATTTCTGCCGGCCTCTTATACCATAGACTCTTAGGAGTCTATAACTGTGACGTCCTTGCTCGTATTGGTTGGTCACTTCAACCCCTCGCTCACACATCTTGTAGAATTCAAAATGGCTACCGTCCCTGTGTGTCTCCAGTTTGGCAGAGTACATAACTTGGCCTATAGTAATCAGGGTAAAGTGATTAGATTGAGACATCAACCTCCCTCTCGGACCACCTGGATATATATCTAGATATTTGTGATGGTCTGAAAGCATATTATGGTTTAAATAATAATCTACTTGTAAACAGGCACGTGAACCTTTGTCCTAAATAGAATATTTCCAAATTATACCTGTTGTATTATAAATCCAGGTTTTAAATTAGATATTCATAGTAAACTGCGTTTTCTTTGGTAAGTCCTAAGACTAGGTTTTCTTTAATGCCAAATTCTAAGGGGAACTCAAATAGTTTTTGAATTTCATATTTCACGTGTTTGAGAATAATTGTTTTAAACTAACCTAGCCAATCCATGGGTAGCACAATTTACATAGTGGTTTTGAAGTGATTACCATACGAGTACATACCCCCTGAGGACTGGTTGATTGGTTACATTAATGTAAAACTTTCCAGAAGGCTCTTGATTTGTAAGAACTCTTAACCTTTGCCACTTGTTGCAGCTGATGACTGGCCCTCTTATGGAACTGATGAGAACAAAGAGTATCGCTTCCGTAGCATCTCTGGCAAGACTCTGCATTTCCAGGTTAGTAGGTTTTATTGATAACTTAGATTTTTCTTTGCACCTGTAACCCTTTCCTCTACAGCACACAAGATGGGTATGAGGTGCATAATAAATGAACTAAACTAAAACTCTTTGCACCTGTTGTTTCATTAAGTCTCTTGGTTGCATCTATGTATGTATTTACTAACACTAGGTGCCTGCATAAGTATTTTATAACATTGTACAAAAAGTTTGGGAACTGCCAAAGCAAGCCAATGATTTGGTTTAGACAGGCATGCTAACTTTGAGGGGATTTTTTGGGGAAAAATAACAATATTTATTTCCAGAATTCTATAAATTAACTTTGCTCTAATTATGTAAAACTTCTTTTTCCAATCAGTTCAAAGATGTGTACAATGATATTTACAGCCCTCTAATTGTTACAGGTAAAGGCTGCCCATGATGCCCACGTCTCTTTCACCTCGGCAGGTGAAGAAACAGACCCCATGCTGGAGATTTTCATTGGTGGTTGGGAAGGTGCTGCCTCAGCCGTCCGTTTCAAGAAAGGTTGGTTTTAATATCAAAGATTTTATTGTATAGAGTAATACAGTACAGTACTAGAATTTAGGTTAAAATAGTGTACTAGAGTAGATTCAAATTTAATGTACAATGTAAGTTTCCAAATCTAGAAAATGTATGTAGTTCCGAACTCAATTTAGATTTGAGAATAGTCTTATTTGCTATACAGTATTTTTATGTCAGCAATTTGTTGTTTTAGATATATACAAGAGTTGTTACATTCTTGTACAGCCACTAGTACGCGTAGCGTTTCGGGCAAGTCCTTAATCCTATGGTCCCTGGAATACGATCCCCTGCCGCGAAGAATCGTTTTTTCATCCAAGTAAACATTTTACTGTTGCGTTAAACAGAGGCTACAGTTAAGGAATTGCGCCCAGTAAATCCTCCCCGGCCAGGATACGAACCCATGACATAGCGCTCGCGGAACGCCAGGCGAGTGTCTTACCACTACACCACGGACACTGCTAATGATAGTAAATCATTAGTAAATGATTTAGTAAATGATTTAGTAAATGATAGTGCTCATCTATTCAATACTTTACGTTACAATATACGTAATACGTTACTTTATTTTACTTTACTAATAAGTATTAAATTGTATGAATACAAATATACAATAGTTTATTTTTAGCATCAAACTAGTAGTTTACAGTAATTGTAAAATTGCTGTAGGAAACAAATTTAATTTTTAGCACTAAGAATTTCCTGAAATTTTGACTAGAGCTTTTCCCTGGCCTTGTTTTGTTATAACCTTGCCTATGTTTTAAAAAATAAAAGGCAGAATGCAGAGTGTGATTTTTTTCAAGTGTTACATTCTTCCAAAGCCACTAACATGCATAGTTTAAGAAAAGTGTTCAAGCTAACACAATTACCTGTAGCAGTGAATTTTAAGTTAGATGAAAAGTATTTCTTAAAGAAATAAAACTAACAACTGAGGTACATAAGGAGGAATTCTAGTTAATATGTGGTAATTATTATTAGTTTGTGATAATGAGAAATGTCTAGATAGTTATATTTCTAGTTAGTAAAGTAATAGAAAAAATTAGTCTTGTACTGAAGTAATATTCCGGTGTGTAATTTTATTGTATTCTGTTCAACTTTTTCAAGATTTGGCATTAATATATTAACATTTCAATGTTGGGCTTGGTTATTAAATGCACCAATTAATTAATAAATCTTTTTCTTTTTCATGAAACCTAGGAGATACCTGTGAGTATGAGGTCTGGTATGAAATGTTATTTTAAAATATCTTGCAACAAATGCTTTTATGCTCCGCTTCAGTTAATGCTTAGCTGCTGCTTGAAGTCTAGGTCCATAACAAATGCTTGACATTATGTTAATCCCACAGCTGATGACCTGGTAAAGGTGGACACCCCAGATATTCTGAGTGAGGAAGAGTTCAGAGAGTTTTGGATTGCATTTGACAATGACGAAGTTCGTGTGGGCAAGGGTGGAGAATGGGAGCCTTTCATGCAATGCACCATTCCAGAACCTTTCCCAATAACCCATTATGGTTACTCTACTGGCTGGGGTGCTATTGGCTGGTGGCAGTTCCATGGTAAGTAAAATTCACTGCTTATGTAGGTCAATGTAAAAAGATTTAGTTGCAAATTAAGATATAAATTAAATAATACAGGTTAGTTTTACATAGTCTGGATGCAATAAGTCAACTAAAAAAGACCAGGGCAAATGGCTGCTGGCTTTTGACAAGCCGCCAGCGTCTTGTCCTCATCGACACCATTAGTATTAGTGGCCCTCGGGTAAATTCGGGTAAATCCAGGTATACGTGTGTTATCAAAATGTATAAGGGGCCCCATTAGTACAGCCAGGTTTGTTTTGAAGTCACACTTTGGAATTCCAAATTCAAATCTCTGGTGGGACAGAAATAGTTGGGTGCATTTTGTATCACCCAATGCTCATATTCACCTAGCAGTGAATAAGCACGCAGGAGTTAGTCAGCTTATTGTGGGGTTGCATCATAGGGAGGGTGATAATAGTAATTCAACCTGGGGAAGGAGGTAGTCCTTCAATATAAGCCTAACATGTATATAGTGTAAATACACTTTCTGCCTGTCCTCTGGCATAATGAATTATTTATTATTGTTATTTCCAAATTGACTTTGGGTTAAAAAGTCTTCTAGAATTCACACTGATAAGTTATTCCAAAATGAATATCTTGTTGTGTCCGGATCAACTGTACAATACTAAATAATCAATGGTACCGTTTTGTTTCAGAGGAAAAAAAATTTACAACTGAAGATTGTCTGACCTACAACTTTATTCCTGTGTATGGGAACACCTTTGAGTTCAGTGTTGCTTGTAACAATGATGCTCATTTGGCACTGACATCTGGACCAGAAGAGACTACCCCAATGTATGAAGTGTTCCTAGGAGGCTGGGAAAACCAGCACTCAGCCATTCGCCTCAACAAAGGTTAGTGTTCAGTTTAGTTTTAAATACCATGTACTGTATATTTTTACTATTTAGCTTGCTAGTTCTATTAAATGGCTTGCTATGAAATGCAACCTTGAGCAGAAATAATAGCTAGAAACTTACAAACTTTTGAAGTTTTTGCAGTTTTTAATTTTATTAAACATTAGATTGGTTTATTATGGCAATTTCTAAACTTTATGATGTAAACTATGCAGAATCATGGCAAGAGACTAGATATAGTAATTTGAAACATTGCTTAATAATTTTTTGATTGAATTTATATGCAAACCAAACTACAGACGGAAGAGGCTCAGGCAAGTGATGGATAATACTGCTAGCACAGTAATAGTAATACTGCTACCAAGATCACCTACAGTTTAGCAGAGCCTAAAATGTGCACATTCTTCTATAATAAGTTGCTTGTGAAAATGGACAATATAAACTTTATATAGTTTAGTTATATGCATCCACAGGAAATGTGTTTCGGGTTCCTTCCCTTTATTGCACCGTAATTTTTTGCTCTTAAATTTTAAGCAAAGTGTTTTGGAATTCGTCCATCCAAGACTTCATCTTGCACTGTTTACTATCCTGTTATGGGCTTATTACTATATTAAACCCCATAACTTTTTTGTTATGGGGCTTAATATGGTAGTTTTTCAAAAATTTTATTTGACATTTAATACATATACTGTAGTAATACTGTACTTATAAAATATGTATAAAATATTTTATAAGTACTTGCATTAATGTACCTTTTTAGGAACTTTGCTAATGGATTTGATTTGCTTAAACTTTTATCAATTTAAATTCAGATAAATGACCGTTGATGTGAAATTTTTTATGCAGGTGAAGATATGATAAAGACAGACACTCCAGACATATTATGCAGTGATGAAGAGAGGAAGTTCTGGATTTCCTTCAAGGATGGACGTATCAGGGTTGGCTACAAGGACACTGATCCCTTCATGGAATGGACAGACCCAGAACCTTGGAAGGTAGGGTGGTCCCCCTTCCCTTCTCCTTATGAACTTGCTATCTTTTTAATGGTGCTAGCAAGCCATTAGTTTTGATTATTACCTCTTTGTGTGTTAAACCTTTTACTGTACTTTGCATATTCAACTAGAAATAAAATTGTACCTTTTCCTTTAGCATTGCTCCGTAATGCCCATCCCTTACTAACTACAGTTTTGTGCCCACCAGTTAAATTATGCAGCAGATTTCCACAGCGTTTGTTTTGCCTTCTACATGCTCCTGAATTTTATTTTGGGAAAGACCCAAAATTTTTAACTTTTGTAATAATCGGTCTGATTTAATCTCTTCCTATTAGCGTCAATGTTATTTGATAAATTACCATTTTTCAAATACAGTTTTACTTGATTATTATGAAGTATTCTATACAAAATGTTATTGGTGATACCAGTTTGGTTATAATTAAGATTTAAAATTAATTTTGCATAGTACAGTATTCTTGTTTGTCTCTTATCTTTCAAATAAAAATTGGGCTAAGAGTACAGAACAACGATTTTTTAAATGATTTGCATTAAATGAACAAAAGCATTTAATAAAATTCGGTACCTACCTAGTATTGCTTACTATACAAACATTGGTATTAAATTGTGAAAGGTGTATTTCAAATAACTAAAATACCACTCTTATTTCAGGTAACCCACATCGGCTACTGCACAGGGTGGGGTGCCACGGGCAAGTGGAGGTTTGAATACTAGGTGCTTTGTGAGAGAACCAGAACATGACATTCGTTCATGTTCCACAGTAGCTTAATAAAAGAACAAAAGCTCTTGGTTTATATTTATTCCTTGTAATGTGCTTTGTCAAATTTGGTGAATCTGACAAATGGTAATAAGAATGTTGGCAAGTTACCTAGAGTTGAAGAGTGGTAGAGGGTTATTAATATATCGTAGTGCTCTTGAGAAATAGAACAACCTTACTTTGATTTTAAAATTGTGTACATTGATAAGCATTTGCTTCTAAAAAGGTGCAGTAAATGTGAAACTTAAGTTTATACATTTCACTAACAACATTCCTGTTCTGGTCAATTTAACAAAGAATAACTAATTGCCTAATGGAGGCAATAAAGCCTAAATGTACCACAGAAAACTCTGTAGAATTTAAATAAAATGCAATTTTTTTAATGGAATATTTGTCTTGTGCAAATCTAATTATCCAGCCAAATTTGCTCAATGAAACTAGAAAGTTTTAGGATCTGTTAATGAAATTACAATAGTTTCTTTAATAACGTGATGCTATGGGTTGTAGACCATGGTATTGGGTGAAAAATTCCTCATGCTGTGCCTCCAATCCAAGAATAAAATAAGTTCTGAATAGTTTTTCTACTACTGAACATCGGAAAAGTATTTTAGGTGCTCTTGTTTCATTTGCAAGACTGAGCAAGGAACTATGTATTAATAATTAGGCACTGTAGAATGCAGAGATGAAAACGGCAGGAAAAGGTATTCTGTGCAAAAGGAAAACCTTAAATGGCTTGGAGCTGCTGGAGAAAAGAAAGTATTGATGTTCATAAACCAGTAAATTGTTCAATAAAGGTTCAATGTAAGTGAACAAATTGAGTTTTTCCTCACCCCTGAAGTTTGCTCCTTTTTATATTAAAATCTAATCTTCAAATTGAATTACAGGACGGTCATTATACAAGATTAAATCCCAAACTGGTGACCTGTAGTAAAATGATGACTGCAGTTGCTTGACACCAATTAGAGCAGAGCTAGAGTCCTTGGTAGGGTGAAGTTTGGATATGTTTGAATACATCTGGTAGTGAAGAAGGTTGGGGGAAAGAACTTTTTTTTTTTTTTTTTTACTTTGGTTCATTAATCTGAGGGGTCCCTGTAGTACAGTCGGGTTTGTTCTCAACTCGCAATAGAGAATTCGGGTTTGAATCCCAGGCGGGGACAGAAATGGTTGGGTGCATTTCCTATCACCTAATAAGGCTGTTCACCTAGCAGTAAGTAGGTACTCGGGAGTTAGTCACCTGGTGGGGGTTACATCCTGAACTGGGTCAGTAATTCGACCTTGTGGGTGGACCTCGTTATAAGCTTAATGTGTATGAATACACTCTGGCTTCCTATACTCTGACATGATGAATTATTATTATTAAGGCTGTCAATTGAAATACCTGTACCTAATAAAACTGCCAGCAAGAGCTGTTATCCTACCTCAGCTCGTCTGAAGCCTGCTCCTAGAGACCCATTTATTTCACGAGCCTATTACATGCATCATTAGGAATAAACTTTATTTATCTCTGAAGTAAGTCGTATAAGAAACAGGATTTACCTGTGGGCCACTAACACCAGTGGCCTCGACGAGGACAGGAAGCCGGGAGTTAGTTTAGTTCATTTATTATGCACCCCATACCCATCCCGTGGGCGGTAGTGGAAAGGGTTACAGAGGCACATAATGGGCTCAGGGACTGAACCCCACAATTCATTTAGCTAAGCAAGTTACAATCTTGATGAGCTAGTTACAAAATTTAATATAAGTCGTCACATTAACAATGGGTTCGAGATCGACCTCAAGTACAGGTTGTAAATTAAGCAACTGACATATGTGGAGAGCTAGTGTCACAAAGCCGGGAGCTTGTTGAATGTTCCCTCCCTATTATCCTGATGTTCTTTTTCCAGTTTAACTTTAAAATTTAACAGTTTTGGCATTTACGGCTTCGGCGGGTAGGCGGTTCCATGGGTTTATAACCCTGTGAGTGAAAAAGCATCTCCTGTTCTCTGCCCTACATTGAAGCTTGTTGAGCCTGAAACTGTTGTTCCTTGTTTGTGTTACATCTGGGCTTTTGGAGAAATTGTCCAAATCGACATCTTCCAAATTGTTCAGGATGTCTCTCTTCTTCCCTCAAGGATGTCTCTTTCCTCTTTCTCCTCCTTTTCTTTTTCTCTCTTTACTCTCCTTCGTCTTTCTCTCTTTTTTCCCCCATCTTCTTTGTCCTTTTCCTTTTCCCTCTTTACTCTTTCCTTCTCTCACTCACTTGACCTCTCGCTCTTTCCTTGTGTGTCTCTCACTCTTTCCCTCTCTCCTTCTTTCTCTCTTTTCCCCACTTTGTCTTCATTTCTCCCCCCCCCCACTCTCTCTCTTTTCCTCTCCATCTCCTAGCGGTAAATAGGTGCCCAGGAGTTAAGACCTGTGGATAACAATCTGGGGATGGTCAGGCATTTGGATCTTTGTACACATGTATACACATTTCATAATGCATACTCTTTTGAAGGTCTCTGTAAGCTTGTCTCAGCATTTACACATGTAATCTTAGACACATCTGTAACTGGGTAATTATAAATTAATTAGTTGTTAACTGTTGACCAAACTACACACTAGAAGGTGAAGAGACGACGATGTTTCGGACCATTATCAAGTCGATTGAAAGACTTGATATGATTGTATGACTATGAAAGGCCACATATGATGGCCTGTGTCGAGGCCCCCTCCCCCAACACACAGACCAATCCTGGAGTATGCGGCTCCATCATGGAGTCCATATCTAGTCAAGCATAAGACTAAACTAGAAAAGGTTCAAAGGTTTGCCACCAATAGACTAGTACCCGAACTGAGGGGGTATGAGCTACGTGGAGAGATTACGGGAATTAAACCTCATGTCACTGGGAGACAGAAGAGTTAGAGGGGACATAATCACCACATACAAGATTCTCAGAGGAATTGATAGGGTAGATAAAGACAAACTATTTAACACAAGGGGCACACGCACTAGGGGACACAGGTGGAAATTGAGTGCCCAAATGAGCCATAGAGACGTTAGAAAGAATTTTTTCAGTGTTAGAGTAATAGACAAGTGGAATGCATTAGGAAGTGATGTGGTGGAGGCTGACTCCATACACAGTTTCAAGTGTAGATATGATAGAGCCCAATAGGTTCAGGAACCTGTACATTAGTTGATTGACAGTTGAGAAGCGGGACCAAAGAGCCAGAGCTCAACCCCCCCAAGCACAATTAGGTGGATGACAAACTCATTAGTACTAATTATGACTACTCAAATCCTTTCCCTAATTACAGGTAACATTTTTTCCATCCTATTGGAGGAAGCTGAGGTGTAGTCCAATAACGTAAGCAGTCAATAAGCGAGTAAACATTTACAGGCTATATTCATGCCCGTGCCACCCCCCTGGTTGGGGTCTTTACGAGCTCACCATAGTCCGTGCTACTTGAACTTCTTGTTCTGAGTAGATGAATCTAAAACAACACCAGCCTGGTAGGCTTAATCTTAATCAATCAATCGAGTAATCATCAGTATAATTTCCACAATGATTCAGTTAACTCCAATCCAATGCTTCGGATTTACCACACCTCTTCAACCTCAAGAATGTAGCACTCAGCGTATACAGTTCTAACCGACCCCAAGACGCTGCAGCTTCGACACAGAGTACACAGCAGACTATGACTGCATCGAGCTACAGCGTTCTCGCTCCCCATCGAGTTTAGACACTCATGATTCCCCATCGAGCGGCCATGCTCTCTCGCATAGAGAGCTCCGCGACTCTCACCAGGACTCCAGCCTCACTCAGCTCCCTGCTCTGCTCCAAGTTCCGTCTCAACGTCTATAACACTGCTGTATCCAAGACTACTAAATAAATATAAAAACCTACTAAACACTGGATATCTAATCTACCAGACAACGTAACATAATTGTATGTTACATGTCTAAATTAGAATATTTTGGGTGTTAGTATACCCAGTGGTATATATATACCCATCAGTATATCATCAGCATAACTATAATGATGTGTTCGTTGGCTTTACTAGAAACAGAGACGGTTGATCACGTTTCCTTTCACCTAATGCATCTGTTCACCTTGCAGTAAATAGGTACCGGAATTTCTAGGCAACTCAGCTAACCTCGATAACCCGAACAGGCTTCCTGTCCCCGATTATGTGAAATATTCAAGTGAATGAAATAACTTTACAAGTGGGGTTAATTGACCTCATATATAATCCATGAGACCAAAATCTTTATTTAAATATTTTTCGAGTAACACAGCTGTACTCTTTCTCTAGTTACTTCATAAAAGTTAATGTTAAAGATTACAAATAACTGATAACTCTCAAAATAGCTTCTCTTTGGTAAGAGGTAAATTCAGGCAAATATGAGTTGAAAAGAACATTCTGCGAGTGTAACTGTGTTCATCCTGTGATAACATCTTTCTTGATTCATCAAATAGAAAGTAAAGTTGACTTTCAAAGTGCGATTGAAATGTCTCCTTTATGAGACTTTTTGCCACTGGTGAGCCGCACGCGATGCTCTTTTTCTTCTCCCTGCTCTAACAGGAATAACATTCATAACATCTATATTTTCGTCTGCACGGTGAAGAGCATTGCTGTCTCAAGATTTTCTCTCCTAGCTTGACCACATTTTACTTTCGGGGTTATTTTGGCGGCACAAGTGGAGGATGTGGTCTGACCAGGAGCTGGTGGAGGTGCTCCGTAGCAGCGTGCCGTACTACCTGGTGGTGGCACTGCCGCTGCTCATCCTTCTGTCCCCAGTGCCGGTAGACGCCGCAGCAGAGTTTACTGTCTACCGTCTACAGCAGTATGACCTCCATGGGTCTCCTCATGGTGAGTGCTCGGTCGCCTGGTGTACTCACCTAGTACTCACCTCACCCACACCCCCTGTCGCCTGGTGTATTCACCTAGTACTCGCCTCACCCACACCCCAGTCGCCTGGTGTACTCACCTAGTACTCACCTCACCCACACTGATCGCCTGGTGTATTCACCTAGTACTCACCTCACCCACACCCCGGTCGCCTGGTGTATTCACCTAGTACTCACCTCACCCACACCCCGGTCGCCTGGTGTACTCACCTAGTACTCGCCTCACCCACACCCCAGTCGCGTGGTGTACTCACCTAGTACTCACCTCACCCACACCCCGGTCACCTGGTTTGTGTGTGAGTTGCAATATGAAACGGCAGTTCACTCCAGGACTGTGATTCCGTCTTATTGGGGGATAGTATCCCAGTGGCCCATGTCTAGTTTACCCTATTATTATTGCTAGGTTTACAATAGAGTAGGGAGAGTAGGTCTGCTGAGATACACACCATTAATAATTTGTTATTTTTGGCCAAGCTATTTTAATAGTGCAGTCAGCTTACAGCTAATTGGTCAAAGACTTCATTCCCAGACAGAACGAGATGTTTATGCATGGATTGCTCTGAATGCCCATAATGCAATAGTGTACAACAGAAATTGTACACTTTATGAACACCAAAACCTGTACATATTTTTAAAACGGCAACTGACTCGTACATTACCAGACGTGACGTCACATCTTTACTAATCGGTAATCGATTGATGAACTTTTTATGTCCTCGTGTCTCATAGATGCTTCCTATAGGTATTGTTATTCAGAGTTTACCTAATATTGTTGTTTTGTTTATATACTGTTAAAATTATTGTTTTGTTTATATACAGAAAATTTAGTTTTCTATTAAGAGGGAAGGCCACTGAAGTTTGGTGGCTTCACCCTGCTAAACTATATCAAACCTAACTAAACCTTATATAATGAAATTTTATAGAGCGAGTACCCAAAAAAATACAAAAATACATTTGATTAGTATTGCCTATGGTTCAACTTTATTTGTTAAGTTTGAATACATCAGCAATGAATACTGTATAATCTCCAGTAAGTCTTTGGGTTCTGTCTAATATATTGTTACTTTTTTGGCTAAAATTTCTATTTCAGAGATTTATGCTTTGCACAGCATATATGTACATTAATTGTACTGTATTTATAAAATTATATTTATTTTTATATTAGTTTTGATTTATGCAATTTATATTTATTAATTTGCTTCTACTAATGCAATTATATGTATCAATTCAACTGTTTCAGTACCCTATGCAATTGCAAAGAAAAAAATTTGTTTTACTGGCATGTAGTCTTAATATTATTTTGGCATTTGGTATGCAATAAATTTATCCATTGTCTTATAGGATGCCCAATTTTTTTTTTTAATAATTGATTCTTTCTATTAGAGCACACACAAATCCAGAACAAATTCCTAGTAGCATAGACCCTGTTAATGAGTAGTACTAGATGTTCAGTACAGTATTTTGGTAGTAACTTGTTAATAGGTAGAGCTTGTGTTTGTAGTGAGGCAGAAGGTTCCTGTGCTAAGCAGTTTTCTTGACTTTGCTACACACAGGTAGTCGGAGCAGCTTAGTTAATGTCGAAGCTCGGAGTCTAGACGCAAACACTGTAGCGCGGCGGTGTGTGCTGGCGCGGCTGGCTGACCTCACCCCATCCCACTACCAGAGGGTGGTCAGCCAAGGTGCCGCAGCTCTACTAATTCTCTTGCCAGTAAACTTGACTGCTTTCTCTGAGGATCAGCGCCAGGTAGGCTAGTAAATATATGCCATGGTAATCTTACTGTTTTGTCTTTTTAGTAAAGCATTTATGAGGATTTTTCTTTTAAACCCAAAGATACAAAACTATCTTCTGTGAAAGTTAGTTTATATTATTATTATTATTGTTTCCTTAAAAGATTTTACTTCTGTATTATAATGTCTGTGATGCAATAATATCTCTGCTGCATATTTGAAGAGAATTTGAGTGAATTTCAGGATTTGGAATATTTGCTATATTGTTTTTAGATAACTCAGACTTGGTGTCTTTTATGCCTAGTGTTATAAAGCTTATTTGCTACAACATGTCATTGTTGTAGCACTCCTGTCATTAGTACTTTACATCTAAGACATTTTTCTTAGCTTTTGTTGAAAATATTTGGAAGTGTAATTAAGTACAGTATATCTTGTTAACTGGATAGTCATATATAAAAGATAGTCATGTATATATATAAAAACACTTCATCCTTATGATGATAATGATAAAATTGATTTTCCTTATAAGTAATAAATGTCCGAGATAAGTTGGTTCTTGGCAATTTTAGGGATTTATAATGTTGCAGTTGGTTCATGATGTTGAAGCATCCATGTTGGATGCAGACTCCCAGCTAGCAGTCTATGTGGCATATGAGACGCAGGAGCTACTTGATATATATGAATCTGTTCGAACAGCTACAAATACCGATGCTGTGACATCAGCTGCAGCTGGTGAGTGTGTTTCTTATGTAACAGATTCTAGATCTAGTTAAAAATTATTTGCAGCCTATCTGCTGTGATAAATGCATTATTTAATTGGTAATTTACTTACGCTCTCAATATAATTAGTTACTATATCTTTGTAGCCAGTACTTACTGTATAATGACTTTATTTGCAGCCATGATGAGCTCCCTGTCTACAGATGGGTACCAGATAGTGGTTGGAGGGAGCCAGTCCAAGCTATTGGCAGATATGACCATTGCTAATGTCCAAGTTAGTCATGATTTGTTTTTAATCTTGTACTCTGGTGTGTGTTGAAAAGATTCTTTCAAGATTTGTATAGCTAATCATAAAAGCTTTAGTGATGGAATGAATAGTAGAAATAGATGAAAGAGAAAAGCATTCAAATGTGGGTGAAATATTGGAGAAAAACTGTATATGAATGGCAAAAAAGGATGAAAGTTAAGGAAATTGTTGGAATGTCTGAAAAGTCATTATTATTTAGTATGGAAGTACAGTTATTGAATGTAAAATAAAGCAATATACATGAAACATTCAAAAAGATCTTATTCTGTTTTTCAGGGTAAACTTAGTGGCTATGGTGTGGAAGAGCAGTTACCAACAATTGCAATTGTGGCCCACTATGATGCCTTTGGGGCTGCTCCAGTAAGTTTTTTTTCCTCCCACCCCACTAATTTGTTTTAGAAACCAAGATGCAAAATATACGCAAAATTTCCATTGTTTTGATTTAATCTAGGTATATCACTAAAGAATTTACTTACAAATAATAAATTTGTAAAAAAGCATGTGATTGCTGTACTGTATATGTTCACTAGAAAGTTATCATGCAGATAATTCAAGATAATGATATTAATTTGCTTTATTTATTTGTGCAGGAACTCTCTTGGGGAGCTGACAGCAATGGCTCTGGTGTAGTAATCTTGCTAGAGCTAGCTCGCATCCTTTCACGGCTCTATGCTTCACCACGGACTCATCCTCGTCTCAATCTGGCTTTCCTGCTTTCGGGAGGTGGTTATATTAACTACCAGGTCAGACTATGGTGTTTTGGATAAATTGCTATGTTATCATCAATAAATGTGACAACCTTGAATTATTCCAAATATCTTTTAATATTTAATTATGTGAATGAATGAATCCTGCTTAAGGTTGTTAGTTATAAGTGACCTAAGAAGTTGTTGAAGTAAATACTGTATACTAAAGGTGAATAACTCCATTTATTTAATTTATAATAAAATTTCAGGGATCGAAGCGGTTTTTAGAAGACCATCTAGATGCTTCTGATTCTCCACTGCTCTCTGAGACTTATTACACACTGTGTCTGGATACATTAGGGAGTGGAAACACACTAAGGCTTCATGTGTCCAAGCGACCCAAGGAAACTTCCCCTGGTTATCACTTCTTCCAGGTAAAAATAAGACACTAGTGCAAATAACAATAAAGGATTGGGAAGATTGAGTTCTTTGTTATAAAATACTAAAGCATCCTCAATATATAGCTTCCAACTGCCCAAACCCTAAGAAATGAAGGCAGACTTACCTAGTTGTATCTACGGGTAGTGTGGTCCTACCTCAGCTATCGTATCTTGATACATTTATACCTCCTATGAGTGTGAATGGCATCACCTAAAATGTAAGAAATAGGTTCTCTTAGCATTGGTAATTTATAGGAATGTCTTACTACTGTACTATAAAAAAGTAAACCTTAGTGCTCTTTTTGCAATGTAAGTTAATGCATTTGACTGTGGTTAATAATATTGAAAAAACAGTAGCTAAATTTTATTGCCAAGATTAATTTGAGGAAGGATCATAATTGAGCAAATTTTCTGAATGCAAGGAATTCAGACGTTTCTTAATCAGCCAGACTCCAAACAGCAACAGCCTAGCTGACCCAAGTCTTTCAAGAAACATACCTCTAAACCAGACTATGAATAAAAGGCCTCTGTACTATACTGTCTTGAGGTTATTACACAAGTTTATTACACATTAGTTGCTGATGGTATAATGGTAGTGGGTGTTACCTGATAGTCGTTGACCAAACCACACTAGAAAGTGAAGCGACGACGACGTTTCAGTCCATCCTGGACCATTCTCAAGTCGATTGTCGATCACAATTGACTAGAGAATGGTCCAGGACAGACCAAAACGTCGTCGTAACTTCACATTCTAGTGTGTGGTTTGGTCAACATATTTCAACCACGTTGTGACTCCTCGTCTACACCTGGTAGTCCTTTGGTTGCTGCTTTAGTTCTTGCAGATTGCTTATGCATTTCTTGGTGCCCTAGGCCTTGGAGGAGGCAGGAGCAGCAGCAGGAGTCAGTGTGGAGATGGTGCATCGGAAGATTAATCTTCAGGAGGATACTCAGGCTTGGGAACATGAAAAGTACAGCATGCGTAGACTTCCAGCCTTCACTCTGTCAAGGCTTTCAGTAAGTCTTAGTGCGCATCGCACCATTTCAATTTAATTGACATTCATCAATTGCTAGTCAAAGTGTCAAATCGAATGTATAGTACATTCATCAAGTGCTAGTCAAATCTTGCAGGATTTTGTGGAACTGTTCTTCATTTGAGAATAGAGGACGACTGGTAGATAAATGAACATTTTCTCAAAGAAATTCATGTGTTTTGTCAAGGTACAGGAGAAAATTTATTATAGGCAAGTCTTGAAGGTGCCATATTAGGAAATTATATTGCCTTAGACAAATTAGCTTCTGTAATGGTACACAGAAATGATGCTGTCATATCTAACTATTGTGCTATTAATAAAAAGTATTGAAATTTCTGTCTTTTTCAGGGACCCAAAACGGGGGAGCGTGGAAGCATTTTAGACACACCAGAAAATGTTGATTTAACAGTTCTAACTCGTAACACAATGGTAGTGGCCACAGCACTTCTTCGACACATCTATAACACATCAGTAGATGGAATCTTTGACAATGGTTTGGTGAGTTGCTTGGCTGATTTTTGTCTGACTTTCCTACTTCCACCAATGTCATTCTCTCTCTTGTATACCTTTGACTGCTTTTTCATCTTTGCTATTTTTACCTTCAGTGCCCTTCATAACTTTGCTCTACATTCTTATCCAAACTCTCTAAATTCTGTCCAAACCCCTAAATTAGTTAGTTTTCTTCGTTTTCTAGTCAGCTATTGTGTTGGCTTGGTGAAGTGTAGGCATGCAATCAAAATAACACGATTCTGATTTGATTTGATTTCTTGATGTTGGTTTATGTTTATGGGTCAAAGTATTGGGTGTGATGTGTTCTGCATATGATAAATGTATTGTGTTTTGCAATAAATAAATGTTTACCAGTACTGTAGTTTATACCTAACTAGTTGGTGAGGTAATTTTCTTGTCTGTGGTTCACCAGCATGTTATTTTGATGAAGAAATTTACCTTCTCCATGAATTGAAAGATAAATCACACCTCTGATCTGTTAACTTCTGTACTGTACTTTATTAAATATTGTTTAATGTAAGGAATATAGCCTAACCTAGCAGTGTGCATCAGTTCTGAAAAAGAAATTGACAATAAACAAAGTATTTAACACTAAGATGACTTCTCATTATGCAGTATGCAACACAGTACTGTATTCCATAAATATAAACAGATTGTTTAAGCTAGATGCATAGCTTTAACATTAGTGATTGTATGCCCCATCAGTCGACCATGTTTGTCATTGTTATCCAATTTTGAGTTGTCCAATATTCTCGTGTATATTGTTTAGGATGAGATTGATAATATCGTGACTGTCAGAGCTGTAGTACAAGCAGATTTGATACCTGATGTGTGTTTTTTTCCCCAGGCTGTAACTAAGAAGAGCATAAAGTCGTGGCTGGACCTGTTGACGTCACAACCACGATCTCCTCAGCTTCTTTCAGGGAAGAATAACCCATTTGTGTCTACACTGCATCAGATTCTCACAAGGTAGGGAGAAAAATGTAACTTTTTATTGGAGCATCAGTGCAGCTGGAGAAGTTAATAATATAGAAAATAGAATGTTGAACTTTCTTGTGGTCAGAAGCAGCTTGGTATTATTGTTGGCTTAGTTCAGTAGTTATACAACTTGAGCATTGCTTAGGTGCTTTTAAGTTACTAGAAGATCAATAATATTCTAAAGTATCAAATTAAATTGACTATTTTTGCTAACATCTTTAATTTTGCCACATCATAGACAAGTGAGAAAATGTAAAGTTGTTACGTAGACTAGTCCACATCATTATGTGGAATAACATAAATTAGATCCTTTTTTACTGACATTATACTGAGACCAAGACATTGTTGAAAGTTATATTAAATTATTGGAGAATTGTGGGCAAATTATTTAGTGTGTGTATTTTTTTATGGAAGGTCATTTATAACTGTTTTGTCTCCTTCGATATGTACTGAATTTGTGGTTATAAAGTAGAAGGAGCAATGTTATTAATGTTAAAATAAATGTTTTGATGAGTAAGTGAGAGTGAGAGAAATTTGAATTTGATTTGAGTTGATTTTTGTAAAAATGTAATCCCCACTTACATCGAGGGCTGCCTGTATTATCGTACTCTAAGAATGTAAGCTGCCACCAATTCTAGTCGACAGTGTTTTGAACATACAGTAATTAATGCTTGGATCTTGATTCTTTTATGGTTTGAAAAATTCTCCTTAAAAAGAACAATGTGTAGCATCATCTTTGGTGAATGTGATTAGTGTTTCTTTGGAGGCAAAGAATGTTGATTCATGTCAAAACAAGTTTTGTATTATATTCCCACAAGTAGTGAGGTGCCTCAAAAGCATAATCGTTTGCCGAACATTTGAGATGCCAGCAATTCCTATCTTGTTTTCTCTGTAAATATTGTCTTGGCATATTCAAGAATTTTTAACAAATTAGGATAAATATAGAAGATATTAAGTTTTCATGTCAAAACAAGAAATAGCTTTTATGTCCTTACACGATGTATGCAAAATGACAATAATTAGTGGTGATTTATGGTTAGTAGGGGATGACAGTAGGACAATGAACTACTATGTGGTAATGACTTGAGGTAATGATGGTAGCCTTTTGAATAAAGGTTACTTGCGAGAGGGGTGGTGGGAGTGCCTATTTAAAGCATTTCATTCACTTTACATTTAATTGTAAGTTGCCTCCCTCTACATACTTTTCTTTATTTACAAAATGGTGATAATGCAATACAGTGCCATAATTTCACAAATAAGATTGTTTGAAGGAAAATGCATAACGGTGGTTAACTTTTCAGGTATACGAATGAAGCTCGTATTACCTTCCTGAAGGCTGATAAGAGAGATCCTGAATGGGCCTTCTATGATGTCACCCGTGCCACTATGGCTGCCTATGCTGTCAAACCCGCTGCTTTTGATTTCCTGCTTACGATGGCTATCCTAGCGTATTTGGGTGTAATTTATGTGTTTCTTCAGGTAAGTTAATTCTTTTACTATCTTTACTTAAGAGAAAAGTACTGTACAGGAATATTTATTAAGTAAAGTTACAATGTTTTAAGTAGGTAATAATTTGTGCTGCAGAATCTGGTGTATGCTCTCTGATGGTCATTTGACAGAATTTGTCACACTATCCAGTAACGATTATTGCCATATCCGTGTCATATTCTCAATGTTGTGGTTTGCACAAACTAAGCAGCTGCCTGTGACAGTATATGTAGGGAGGCAATGGGATAATGCATTTCTTGAAATTTTGCTTTAGGCACCAGATACCCATGGATTGGTTTTTAATGGTAAATACAGTTTTAGGTAAATAAACTCCAGCAATAGTTTTGAGACTATAAGTATAAATTAGCTTCCATGTCTACACATCTTTATTCGGTGTTCAGGCACTATTTATATCCAGGAATAATATTGATGCAATTTTGTTTATCTTTCAGTATTTCCCCAAGTTGTATACGATGATGGTCAGGCTTGCTTCTCCCCAGAAGTCCAAGGCACACTAGTTTCCTAGGGACTCGATGAAGTGTATATTGTATCCTGCATAATATTCCCATAGCTTGAATCAACCTTGAAAAATGCAGTCAGTATTTTGTAAAATACCATCATCTACTGATAACATGACAGTTAGTGTAATTTCATATTTCTGTACATTGATAACCAGTACAGTCTGTGTGGCTGTTAGTGCACTGTTTTCACTTGTTGAAACTGGACCCCATTACCAGTGCCTCTAACTGGATCTGACCTCGGATCTTTTCTTGATATTCGTTTATACTGAAAGTTATTGTGAACACTATAGTTACAATAAATACTTCAGAGACTTATCAGGGTATAGCAACTACTAAAGATAATCCTCATTTAAGCTGTGAATTATCTGAGGAAACTGGTAATCTTTAATTGAATTGCATTTTGCAATCTATGTTTAATAGTAACCATAAGCAGTCTCTATTTTTTCTTATTTCTTTATTATACTATCTCGAATTGGGAAACGAATTAACTGAGAACTTTTATAAAAAGTTTGAAACTTTTTATGCAATATATATACATAATTTGTTTGCCACATTGCTCGGGATATCAATTATCCAGGAATACAAGATGTACTGTATTTATGGATGAGAATACATCATAATAATCATTGTTATCTGTGGCTCGAGTTTAGCAGACAGACTGATTTTTATAAACAGAAATTCGGTATGATTACCGAGACAATGCAAGTTTTTTTTTTTGTTTTCTCCAGTTTGTTTTTATATTAAGTTTAAAATTTTCTCTATCTCCTAATATCTTTGCTGGATTTTCCCCCATTCTATGTGGTGACTAATAGAACCAATACTGTGTGGTGACCAAACCTGTGCACTGTAAATAGACCGGTTTTTTTTTCTTTGCAAGTGTTAATAGAGGCTTTATGTACAGTAATTGAATTTTTGGTCACCATAATTGAATTTTTGGTCTTAAAGGGTGCAGTAAAAAAGTCTCGGTTACATGACGGTAAGTAAAACCTTTTACCAGAAAATGTTGAAATGTAGTATTTTTCTTATGAGAATTACATTACTAGTACTTCTAGGTTGTATTTGCTAGATTCTCAGTTTGAAGAAATGTACTAACATCTGTGTACTGTGTAGATTTGATGGAGTCTTCTCTACTATTGCTAATAACTTCATGCTTAGGAAAGTGCAGCTCTGTTTTGTGGGAACTGCATTATAATTTTCAACATTCTTGGTTTGTGCATTCATATATTGTTCAGTATGTTCCTATAATTTAAGTCATTGCTTACACTTGTATGGGAATGCTGATGCACAAGTTCTCAAAACTATATTAATTCTAACAATCCAAGACTTGTTTGTATACATGTTAAGTATATAAACTTCAGTTCACATACAAAAAAATAAAATTACAGATTCCCTTAATATTGGCAAGTGAAATGCATTTGGCTGTGAGAAGTAAAAATAAGTACTAGTAAAGCCAGAAAAAGAATTAGGAAAAAACCAATATACCATATATGTTTTCTTGGCTTGTTCTTTGCTCTTCCAACATTCTCAAGTACAATGTACTTAAATATCTTTGAATGCCGCAGGGACTATCCACTAGCAGTGCAGAATTACCCAATGGTTCCTGGCCTAGGGCCACACTGCAGCAATAACTACACATTGTAATCACCTTTTAAACTCATACGGAAGCAACACATGTTAAATATATTAGATAAATCATTGTGTTGTGTATGTGGGTTTTTTTAAATCTGAATATTGGGGAGTTAGGTGCCTGTTTACAATCATATTATTTATGAATTTAAAACATGCTGCAGCAAATTAGAAACATATATTGAAGGGTTAATTAAATAATTGAGAATTATTTATTAGAGAGACGAGTAGTGAAAATTTCTTCAGTGACATATTTCATAATATGCAAGAATGGCCTTCTGTGGCAGTTAAATAAGACATTAATTTATTTATGGGACTTTTGTTTAGTGAGTGAGCACATGAAATAGTTGATTGTGTTCAGTTTTCATGTGATAAAAAATTACAGTTGCCAAACAGTTCTCATCTGTACATAATCTGACTTGGAAATGAATATTTCTTCCAGTAAATGTGTTTTATAACAAAAATCATTATGCTGTACTGAAAAAAAAAGGTTTTGTATTTAAAGTGTTCTTCAGTCTTTGGAAGAAGCACACATTAACATTGTTCTATTCTATGCATGACAGACCACTTCTAATCTTCTCATTGCAGACTTAGTTTTCAGGAGGGGCCAAGTACAAATTGATGTGCTTAGTCAGATGCACAAGGCTCGGAAAAGTCGGCCATCTTTTATTTGAATGTTTGGGGGGCCTTACTGTTTTTGTAGGTGTTTTCTTTTTTTTTCTGTAACAAAAGCCTGTAATTGTTACATGCAATGCTGATCACATAATATGCAAAATTTGGTCATACAGTAGCTTACCTGCAAAATCGGTTTCTAAGGTATCTTGATTTTCTTCACGTTATGACCTTAACTTTAAGACATTAGAATAACGTTACAAAATGAAGAGATTATCCTAGTGGGACACTCACTGTTATGAGTCATTAGTAGTATCTAGGGGGCTGTGAGCATTGCCTTCTGTGGCTTCTGTACCTTATTTTTGTGTGTACCAGAAAACTAACGTTACTGTAATATACTTTTTCTAATTGCTATGCTTCCTATGGTGTGATCATCTGTATTCTTATACAGTAGAATAATCAGTATATTTCTAAGTATTGATACTTCCCTAAGGCTCCAGTTTGTCTTGTAAATATTACTTTAAGCAATAAAGATTATTTACATGAATAAAATGAAAATGATTTTTGTCAGAGGCTTTGTTATGTTTGTAAAATTTACTCTCCAATTCTTTTATTAATAAAATAATATCCATGAGGATTTATTTATTGTTTCACAGATTTTCCTGTGTGTGTGTGTGTGTTTGACTAGATTTGGAAGGAACTTAGTTTTTGAGATGCAGTAGAGATATGTGAAAGATCTAGGGAGAATTTGTCATTGTGAACATAATCAGTTAGTGACTGGCACTGTCAATGCTTTATTATCAATACTACTTATTGATAAATGCCAGCATCTTATTGGTAAAGGGAACTATAAAAGATGTTGATTGGATAATGAGGTGGACCCCCCTCCCCCATACCCCCAATGAGAACAAACTGGAAGTAAAATTGACAAGACCAGTTAGTTTGCTAGTGCAGTATATGGACACCAACAAAGAAAAGAAGGTAATGAACTAGCATTATTAGTATTTACACATTAATGCAGATATAATATGAACTGCTAGTGGCTAATGACCATTGTATCAGTGTTTGTTTATTTAATAGAGCTGAAAGAGAACATGAAACTGAATGAAAAAGGGATAGTCAAGTGTTTGACTGGAGCCTGGAGGAAATGTAAAGGTAATGAACCAAATGAAAATTAACAAACAAAATGGAGTACATCGCCCAGTGATGCATAGAGGCAACCTATTCCATATCCTGCAAAAAATATTCATCAAGGTACAGAAGAAAATAGGGAAATGGTGTGGAGACCTGGGAATGTGTATATAGTAGTCAATATACAGTACTAAACTTTGAATGGAAATATAGATCGAAAAATGTATAGCTGTGAAAGCCCAAAATCAAACAATATTGGACTGTCATATTGAGAGAAAGTTGACAGTTAATGCAAGACTCTTAAGGAAAATGAGACCTGAACAGTGAAGACAAGCTCACATAGTTGAACCTATAAACACTGCAAGAAAGACAATCCAAAGGAGACAAGGTCACAACTAGAAAGATACCAATAGACGAAAAGACGAGGACAGACTTTCATATTGGGGAAAAAATTACTAAAGAACATAAACAGAACTGACTTCTTCTCAGGAATGTAATTAGTGCTCTTTCAGTACATAAATTGTGAATAGGTGAAATGAACTGAAGACAGAGGTTGATGAAGCCAATTTAATCCACAGCTTTAAAAGTAATTAAGACAGTTGTAGAAAACTGAGAAATGTCGCAGCCAATATCCAAAAGTGGAGAAGCTGGCTCCAAGAGCCAATCCTTCCAGCCTTCAGGAATAACAGGTATGAACCACATTACAGACCACCATATACCACCACTTATATATAATCCTAACTGGCTTCCTATCCCCAGTAATGAGAAATCATTATTATTTATGTTAAATCATTTACTAAGTGATAGGTAGACAGATGCCATTTAGTGACAAGCAGTTATGAACTGTTATACAGACGTGTGGTTATAGGGGTAGATAAAGGATGTGAAAGGAGTTCTCATATAGTGTTGAGTAGGCCTAAATAGTTACACCGACACACGAACATATCAACAAGGGCCGTGATGAGGGTTCGAACTTACGCCCGGGATGATCCCAGACGCTGCCTTAGTCGACTAGGCCAAGATATGGTTAAAAGAATTGTAACTGAAAGTTCTACTGACCTCACATCATCCCGGATCATCCCGGGTGTAAGTTCGAACCCTCATCACAGCCCTTGTGGATTTCTTCAGTTACACTGACAGTTTGTCACTGGCATTGGAAATTGGTATCAGTGACAGTTATACAAGCTATGCGTCGCACGGAGTAACACGCAGTTATTAACAAGGTTGTGTTACAGACAAGATGGCATGAAAATTACCATACTAACAAATGCAGCTAGAAAGAGAGAGGTACATCCAGGAGAGCAAAATCATAATTACAAGCAGTGTGTCATTAGACTGCAGATAAAACATAATGCAAATTAAACTTACCGTGCGAGCTACCATTTTTCTGGCCGGAGTAATATAATTGGTAAAAATTATTGTTGACCTCGTTCTCCTCTTGCCAACGCCAAACTATCATGAATCCAGATTAAAATTAATAATGAAAATTAAACAAAATCTCTTGGCAAGTCTGCTGCTGATAGCACTTTATAAATAGTCGTGTTTGTATGAAGTTACTGCATTTCAACGCTTTATGTTAGTGAAGAACTTAATGGGGTTTGCATATTGTATGAGTGCATATACACCGTGTATATGAGCTGGCTCTACCTCCAAGCTTTTACTTGCTTATCTTGTGGATATGTGGTGCAACATTAACTACTGTGCTGTAATTATACAGGGCTATCCTTGCAACTTGTTCATAAATTTGAGGCATATGAAAACAACCAACTAATTATATATATATATATATATATATATATATATATATATATATATATATATATATATATATATATATATATATATATATATATATATATATATATATATATATATATATATTATATATATATATATATATATATATATATATATATATATATATATATATATATATATATATATATATATATGTCGAACATATTAGCCAGAATGCACTTCTCAGCCTACAATGCAAGGCCCGATTTGCCTAATAAGCCAAGTTTTCATGAATTAATGTTTTCTCGACTACCTAACCTACCTAACCTAACTTTTTCTGCTACCTAACCTAACCTAACCTATAAAGATAGGTTAGGTTAGGTTAGGTAGGGTTGGTTAGGTTCGATCATATATCTATGTTAATTTTAACTCCAATAAAACAAAATTGACTTCATACATAATGAAATGGGTAGCTTTATCATTTCATAAGAAAAAAATTAGAGAAAATATATTAATTCAGGAAAACTTGGCTTATTAGGCAAATCTGGCCTTGCATAGTAGGCTGAGAAGTGCATTCTGGCTACTAGGTACGACATATATATATATATATATATATATATATATATATATATATATATATATATATATATATATATATATATATATATATATATATATATATATATATATATATATATATATATATATTAGTATATTTTGGTAGCAGTCTTTCCTGTAGACATATATTATTAAATATGACCGAAAAAGTAAGATTAATAATTCTAACACGAATTTTCTCAATCTTTCGTACATTACGCTTCACTGTTGGAGGTAAATCAAAAATCACTTCTCCAAAATAAAAATGAATTTTGGAGAAGTGATTTTTGATTTACCTCCAACAGTGAAGCGTAATGTACGAAAGATTGAGAAAATTCGTGTTAGAATTATTAATCTTACTTTTTCGGTCATATTTAATAATATATATATATATATATATATATATATATATATATATATATATATATATATATATATATATATATATATATATATATATATATATATATATATATATGCATATGCAAACAAGCTTGAATGGTCCCCAAGCCAATATGCAACTGAAAACTCCACACCCTAAAAGGATTTGAACCCCAGACAGTCAGGAGCACTATGTACCATGACGTACCTGGTTCCTTGACCACCGTGACTGTACAAAAGTCATTGGTAGCCGAAGCTATATCCCTGGTTCCTCAACCACCCGACTACCGTGTACAGTCACGGTGGTCGAGTGGTTAAGGAACCAGGTACACTATGGTACATAGTGCTCCTGGCTGTCTGGGTTCGAATCCTTTTAGGGTGTGGAGTTTTCAGTTGCATATTGGCTTGGGGACCATTCAAGCTTGTTCGCATTTGTGTTGCTCACGTGGCCCCACAAAGTGCGGTGATTCGATGAAATATCCATGCCCAAGCTTACCACCAAGTGCTGTCGGGTTGTTGGGGATGTAGCCTCGGCTACCAATGACTTTTTTACAGTCACGGTGGTCGAGTGGTTAAGGAACCAGGTACGCCATGGTGCATAGTGCCCCTGGCTGTCTGGGTTCGAATCCTTCTGGGGTGTGCAGTTTTCAGTTATATATATATATACAAGTTATATATACATAGTTATATATATTAGTTATATATATACACAGTATATATATGCCACTATAAATGTAATTTGCCTATCTTGAGGAATACTGGAGTTCACCTCATATACACATCAAGTCAATACCCTTTTCACCCCATCCCCAACATGATACATGGGGTCTGGCGGTCACGATGAACTAATTAGATTGATTGGTGGCTTAATCTTCACCAATCAATCGATGACCTAATTATACCCACTGCTGATTGGTGAAGGTGTGATGTGGTGGGGCAGCGGTAGCATTAATGTAATGTGTCCCACACTGAACCTTGAAACGTGGGCTCCCATTCAGGCATAGTGGGCAGGGGTGCCGCAGTGGTGATGCAGTAATGTAGGTATTGACTTCAGCTCCTGCCGGCTCTTCAAGCTTCACCGGGTACAGCCCCGCCTACCTTTGCAAACGCCCGTTTGCAAAGGGTGCAAATATCGCGGGTGTCCCAGCCTAAACATTGTTTTCACGCTTTCAAAGAAAATGTAGGATATCTAGTTGAAAAAAAAATATGACGTTTGTAGATATCAGATTATAAGTTGTAAAAATACTAAACTGAGTATTTAAATATGTTGTATAGGTCTACTGTACAAGCCCCCAATCAATGTGGAAAATACATAAATATACTAAGTGAACAGGACAATAATTCACAAAGCTGTATTGGCCTAGTATGATGATCAAACCACACATCAGTAATTATAGATGTTTCAACATCAGTAACTAATTAAATAATTAAAATGTCAAGAATAGGTTACAATAAAAGAGAGAGAGATATGAAATAGGGTAATGTAATTATCAAAAGGCACCAAGCCGAGAAGGCTATATAGCACCAATGAATTAGGGTAGAGCTTAAGAAATTGAACTCTCAATATAATAAATATTTGATCCACAACGCAGTCTTACCTACCTTCTTATAATAATAAAAAATTAGCTTATAAACTCATTCAGAAATTTTAGAATGCGCACTTTCTCCCGTTTTAATAATGCAACTGTTGCTAGAATCTCACAAACCACTATAGCGTACAATATATATAACATATATTCTATAATCAATTCAGGTTGTGCAATACAAAATAAGTAATGCTAAAATATGTGCAGGTATGTGTGGACCAGGTTGTGGTAACACAGGCAGTCTAAAGTCAACAACATTAATAATTTCCATCATGGCCGCTCTGGCCTCGGCCCACGCTCTCTGCTCTAAGGAATAATATCAAGAGCCTCTTGCAGTCCCCAGCGACGGATGAAAGGAAACATTTGTTTATATAAGTATTTGCTCAGGCTCCGTGTATTACGCTGTAAATTCAGGTATACGTTATATTCTTTCAAATCTCTATGCAAAGTACTCGAAGCACATTTGGGTCCAACCACTCGAGCTTAGTCTAATCAGCTTTATAGTTAACATACTACTTGTGTAAAGGAGGAAATGCAGATGTTTATCTCTCAGAATGTTTGGTAATATGTTTATTGTTTGTGATGTGTGTATATGTATGTATTAACACGATGTACTGAACGGGGTGAGAATAGCTTGAGCTACCTCATCCCTTTGTGTGTATTTTATATCAATAAAGTTATTTCCATTTCAATTTCAATTTCAGCTTTATAGTTATTCATCACTTATGCAATGGAAAATGGGGCAGACGGATAAAGAAATGTAGGTTATTCCTTGAGCACCAATTACCTTGCTCGACCTCAACAAACTCTGTTGATGAATTCCTTCGGGCGCCTGCTGGGGACGACCAAAGTTGTCTTAAGTTTACCATCTAAGGATTTACCGTATATTTGTTCCTCCTAGTGTAGATTGGGGATCGGGGGCTCCTCTCTTGGATTGGATTGGCGCGTCCACGGACCCCATTCCCAGTATCGGCTAATGATACGGATAATGGCTCTAAAGAGCCTCCACTTACGGGATCACCATAGCCCGTGCTACATGGAAATTTTGTTCCAGTGCTGAATCTAAAACAACCGCCAACCTACGTTGACGGATTACTCATGCCCGTCCCACCTCTTAGTTGGCTTTATCTTCATCAATCAATCAATCTATCTACGTTGTGTCATGAAGACTAGGATTCATTAAGCATTTACGCGTACACTTACGAAGCAAGGAAAGTCTGTATTTTACGGACCTGGAAACTTCACAACGCAAGGTTGCGGAGTTATTTGCTATAACACTCGTAGTGCTTCAGAGACCGTAAACTCTTTAATAAATATAAACAGCCCCCATGATTGGGGAAAACATTAATATAGGTTTCTTAAGTGAATTTTTGTTTAAGTGCTTCATGAATCCTGACCGGTTTTGTTTGGGAACTATGTACCACAATGAGGTCATTAACGTCTCCCCCCCCAAATGATATATAGTCGTAATGGCTTGACGCTTTCTGCTAATAGTTCCCGTCCCCCATTGTCGAGGACAGAAAGCCTGTTGGCCTTTTTGAATTGATTGATTGATGAAGATTAAGCCACCCAAAAGGTGGCACGGGTATAAATAGCCCGTAAATGGTGGTCCTTTTGAGCCATTACCAGTATCAAGAGCTGATACTGGAGATCTGTGGAGGTGCGACTGCACCCTGCGTGACGGGAGATGTCTCCCCTCGCCTTTTTGAAGTCCCGGCCTGTGCAAACTACTCATTTTCGGCAGGTGGTAACCCATAATAGTAACTCTTGGGTACCTGTTAGGTGAACAGCAACATGCCCAAGCGTTTCTGTCCTATCTCACGGAATCAAACCCGGAACATTTTGGTAATAATTTGCTACGAGAATAAGAAGGCTTACATTCCATAAAGCTAACAATATTTTTTTGTTTTATAAAGCTTTTTATGGTCAATTAAAATCATATTATCCGGGGTCCATTTTCTATGAAAGCGACCTGGAAAGAGGGACGGGCCGGGAGGTCCGACCTTCTCACTAACAGTCAGTGTCATTTGGGCTGTGGTAGGGGGAAGGTGGAAGCTCGCGCTGCTCCGATCCTACTCTTCTCCACTTTCCCTATACTCCTCCCAGATTCGCTGGTAAGTGTTATTAAATGTGTTCTTGCACCTTTTCATCACTTATTCAGATAGGAATACCCTCCCGTATCATTTCCTCGTCGTTCAGAGCATAGTTTTCTTTTAAATATTTCATTTATTGCCAATTCTTTTCAGTTTGGGTTATGTTTCGAATTGTAACAAAAATATAGTTTTATTGTTTATTTTTTCTAATTAAAAAATGACATATAACGTGAACTGCGCCAATTATTCATTACATATTATTCCAAGGAGTTTGGTAATATTTTTTCTTTACTATAAATTCGTATTTTCTCTCTCTCTCTCTCTCTCTCTCTCTCTCTCTCTCTCTCTCTCCACAATACCATTCAAGTAAGATAATGGAATTGAGGAGCCCTACGCGCCATGCATAAATCAAGCAGGCAGGGAAACACTGGACGAGGCAAGACAGCATGCAGCAAAGTAAAGATATAAGTAGGTAAGCAAGCTTGAGGGTGAAAAAGGCAGAAGGTAAGCAAATTTAAGAGTAGGGAATGAGGAAGTAAAGCAATTTTGAGAGTAAAGAATTGAGGGGGGGGGGTTGAAGTAAACAAATGGAAAGGTGTAACAAGATGAGTAGACAAATAGGTGGTTAAGGATGAATGGAGGGAGTAACTAGCAGGGGTGTTAGTAGATAGACAAACAATAGAGAATCGGGATAAGCAACTTGGACAGACAGGTAGAAAGTTTAAATGACAGGAAAGTCTTCAAGTAGTGTTGTACCGGAATGTGCGTTTTTAAGGTAACGAGAGAGGCAAGTATGGCTGTTGAAGGAAAAATAAGAAAGCACATAGGTAGAATAGTAAGGGGTGTTATCAAGCATTCATGTGCCCAAATACGAAGCTTGATAATCTTTCCTCGACCGTGGCGGCTTAAATTGTATTTGTTAAAGAGTTTATAGTCTCCGAAGCACCACGAAGTTATTCCATAACAATAAGATACAACCTCGCAGCTCTTCCAAACTCGTAAACTGGTTAATGAATACGGAGGAAAGATATACAGTATCGTTCAAGGACGCACGAATCTTTGTTGGAGCCTAATGCATGGGCAGTTAAAAAGACTGAAGAGCAGGCAAATGCATACAGCCACCAAACACAGTTTGATGATCCATGGAGCTCCCATATGCTTATTCAGTTATTCCGACATCCTCAAGCGAGCTTCTTCTGTTTTATGTGTTCCTGAAAGTGGTTATTTGCGTAAATGATTCCATATTCACTTTTTCCGTGCCATCCGTACTTGAGAGCGAAGCTAAGGTTGTGTGTAGCTCTGTAACTTGCCAATACCTCTTGCCCTCCTGTCCAAGTGTTCGGTAATATAAAATAATATAAAATATATATGTTTATTGTTTATGGTGTGTGTATCTATATATGTATGAAGATGTACTGAACGGGGTGAGAATAGCTTGAGCTACCTTATTCCTTTGTGTGTATTTTACCTCGATAAACTTATTTCAATTTCAACTTCCTGGACAAGAGCGAAGGGTTGAGTACTTAAATGTCAAACTAAAACGTTTGCATGAGTAAAATTGATATTTAAGAAAATAACGTTGTTTAACACTTTATTTATACGGGTTACAGAATATCTGGTTGACTGTCTATTCCATGGGGCAAGCTTTTCCCATCTGTCACACGGGACTATCTTTTCCAGCTGTCACACGGGACTATCTTTTCCAGCTGTCACACGGGACTATCTTTCCTATCTGTCACACAGGACTATCTTTTCCAGCTGTCACACGGGACTATCTTTTCCAGCTGTCACACGGGACTATCTTTTCCAGCTGTCACACGGGACTATCTTTCCCATCTGTCACACGGGACTATCTTTCCCAGCTGTCACACGGAACTATCTTTCCCAGTTTTTTACAGGAAATATAACTCCAAGATAAGCACTAATATACAAAAATAACGCACGCCCCAAAAAAATAAACATTGAAGAGGTAAACTTTCTAACAGTAATTCGAAGACAATTAAGGACCCAGTGAAACACATATATTTGAGCGCGATGGTGTCATTTGCAATCATGAAATTTTACGACTTGAAAATAAATCTATATATTTTTTTAACTTAATTTTTCATCAGATTGTGCAGCATTGTCGGGTGAAAATGGCAAGCGCCAGCGACCCCTTAAAGTAGAACCGCGTGAATTTCACTGTGACATGGGGGTTTTACCAACCCAGCCTTCTGTTTAGATAGTAGTTTTTGTAACTATCTGTACCTGCAACCAGGAGGTCTGGTCGAGGACCGGACCGCGGGGATGCTAAGTCCCGAAACCTTCTCAAGTTAAAACCATGGTACTAAGACTGACGTACTAAGCAATTAGATAGTAAAATTTTATACTATTCACTTTATAGTCCGAATAAATTGAAGCTAAAAAACAAACTTAAATATTCCTAGGCCTACTGTAGCACACATATGTACAATATTAGACCTCAAATATCGTGTATTAGGCCTAGAACGATTAGGTTAGTCAAGTTTGTTTTGGTAACAAATATAAAATCTTTTCCGGTTTGTCTAAATTCAACAGTACCGATTTCTACTTTCTAGTTGCGTTGTAAGTCAGTATATGTACTATGGTCCTCATCGTTACTACAAGCACTACCAAGACAGGAGGATAGGCTGGGTTTTACAGTAGTAAAGTCAGGTATAAAAGTTTCTCAGGTTAGCCTATGCCTCTAAATCGGTCTCGTTATGTCGGACAAACGCCTGGGTCTTCTAGATGGCGAAGTTTATCTGTTAGTTTTTTAACAGTAGCATTTTGTTGAGTTACTTTGCCTTGCAAGTGTGAGGTAAACCAGGTAACCTAGTCTAGGAACAGAGTATACTGAGAACCAAGGCTAGCAACGGAGTTTACTGAGAACTTCGAGAGCCTAGCAACGGAGTTTACTGAGAACCTAGCCTAGCAACGGAGTTTACTGAGAACTTCGAGAGCCTAGCAACGGAGTTTACTGAGAACTCCGAAAGCCTAGCAACGGAGTTTACTAAGAACCCGAGCCTAGCAACGGAGTCGTCTACTAATAACCTTGCATGGTAACAAGGTTGTCTGCTAGTAACCTTGTCTAGTAACGCGGTAACCTATTGAGTAACCAGCCTAGCAACAGCGTCGTTTTCTAGTAACCTTGCCTAGTAACGAGGCCGTCTACTGAGTAATTAGCTCCCTATTGTATTGCCATCTACCTGGCAATACTAATTATGCTGCATAATGACCAGTGATGTTTGAGTCAAATATCAAATCAATGTCTAAGGAATTTTTTGACTTGCGTTGCAACTTGAAGCAGAGGGACTGGTTGGAGGCCCAGGCTGTGCCCTTTCTAAATGCTCTTTCCAGTTTATCATCCTCTTCACCGCACTCTTTCACTGTTGTCTGTCTATCTTCACCGCATCTATGGCTGTCTGTCTGTCTGTCTGTCTGTCTGTCTGTCTGTCTGTCTGTCTGTCTGCCTGTCTGTCTGTCTGTCTGTCTGTCTGTCTGTCTGTCTGTCTGTCTGTCTGTCTGTCTGTCTGTCTGTCTGTCTGTCTCTCTCTCTCTCTCTCTCTCTCTCTCTCTCTCTCTCTCTCTCTCTCTCTCTCTCTCTCTCTCTCTCTCTCTCTCTCTCTCTCTCTCTCTCTCTCTCTCTCTCTCTCTCTCTCTCTCGTCTCTCTCTTCTCTCCTTGCTCCCTGGACCTAGCTTATCGCGTAATCCTTCACACTGCACAGTTTTCAATGTACACACTCCCGGAGGTACCCAGCGGCTCGGAAAATGCGATTATACACGTACAAAAATATTGGGCAAATGTTTGTTGGGTTGAACTGGTTGCTCGCAGAGAGGAGGCCAGCCGTCGTAGCCTCTCCTGCCTTCGCCATCATTCACTTAACAAAATAAAAATTAATAATTGTGCGAACAAGTAAATTTTCGTTTGAAATTTGTAAATAGTTAATGAATATTATTTAAATATAGTGAAATATGATATGAGAGGTTTTGGTCTCTTTTAACAGATTAAGAGTTGGGATTTGAGGAGAAAGTGAAGAATATAATTAGGTAATAAGGAATTTATACATAACTTTAAAATGAAATAAATAACTCCAGGTAGAACTTATACAGCCTATCCTTCATGTTGTTTGTTGACCCCGCACCCTCTACCCTCGGTATGGCCAGCTCTCGTTCTCTATATAATTTGCTCTTGATCTAGCATTAACAAGTTACAGCCCTACTCCTGTGTCAGGTAAGTCCACTACGGGCTCACCATAGCCCGTGCTACTTGGAACTCTTTGTTCCCAGTAGCTGAATCTTAAACAACAACTGGCATTAGGCGCGGTTCAATGTAAAATTATTGTGTAATGTATTCTAAAATAAGTTTGCTACTTCCCATGCTCATTCTCTCTTTGACAGTCTATATCAATTAATTGTCTTTCTATTTATCTGTCTGCCCAAAGTACGAGGCCAGACGCTTAGGGCTAGCCTTACCCAACTTTTTAACATGAAACATGGGAGGTATGGGAGTGTCATAGAACAGTTATGGCTGCTCCAAGTGCCACCAATAAAAAAAAAGGTATAGACATCTATAACGGGTTTTATCCCATTGAGATTTTCATGAAGTCCGAAATGAAATCACTATGTTTACTCCCGCCGTTTACCCGCACATTTCCAAGGTTTACAAGAGAACGATGAACGTGCATTCATTCGAGTTACAGTATTACATGTTGGGTTTTTGAGAGAGAGAGAGAGAGAGAGAGAGAGAGAGAGAGAGAGTGAGAGAGGGAGAGAAAGAGAGAGCGAGAGAGAAGGAGAGGGAGGCGAAAGGGAGATGTTGTGGAAGAAGGAAGGAGAGAGGGGAGAAAAATGAAGAGGGAATAAGAGGCGAGGCGAGAATGCAAGAGAGCGGGAAGGTGGGAGTGACACCCCGGACACCGCTGGGTACCCCATCTAGTGGTAATGTTTTGTAGATTTCCTCAGAATTTGCATCAAATATTAGATACATTTATATACTAAACACCGGGTTAAAATTTGAGCA